CTTGTATTCCCCGTCTCCATGCAGCTTCAAGAAGTGTTCCTTTAGTTTTGCCGGTGCAAGACTAGAGTTGCTCAACTTGGCGTTGCAAATCATGCAGATAGGACGCTCACTCCCATCACGTTCCGTGATACATGAGAATCCATGTTGTACATATTCGTCCGACCACTTTCTTCTTTTGCCCGACATAGTTAGTATGGATAAAATATTAAAGAAATCACACGACGTACGACAACAACAGTCACACGTTGACTACTGAGTACGCACTAAATTCCCCGCAGCGCTGATTGGCCAAGCAGTGTAGCATGATCATCTGCAGCCAGTGATGGCCAAGCGGGCCGTGTGTGTCATCACAAATTTACACAATAATTCAAGTGTGTCCGGACCTCCGTGGCGGGGGCTCTGCCGAACCCCTGAGATCGACTCACCGAACCCCTGGGGTTCGATCGAACCCAGGTTAAGAACCACTGCTCTAGTATAAATGAATATTATGATTCGGATACATTGTGTCGTCTATTTCCTAATTGGGCACCTTACCAATTTGTGTAGTCAAATATGATCGTTCTCAGGATGGCCTTTTGAACAATACAACTATTTAATAATATTAATGAAAAACGGGAACAACCACAAAGCACGGCCTCATTTCTAACTCAAATGATCGCTCTGTCCTCACTGTCCAAAACGGATCGGTCCCTCTTACCATTGTGGCAAAATAAGTGTAAGTTGTCTACAATTTTATGTTTTGTTTAGCAATATTTTATTTATAGAGCGCCTTTGCTCAAGGCACTTGACATAGGTTTAAAAACAACAGTGTTAAGGCCCGAACGATTTCCACGGCACGGGCGTGCAAGGGCTGTTAATGGGTGACCGCGATAGAGGGGTACCTAGGGGTTAGGAAGGGGTAGGGGATGGACGGGAAGGAGTGAAGAGAATGGACAGTGGAGAAGAGGTGAAGCTTTAAGAGAGGAATGGAGGTTAAGCTATTGGAGGAACGCTGGAGAAAACCCCCAAAGAACAGAGGGAGAGAACATACAAAATACACTCAGAGAGACGCCCGAGACAGGAAGTTAACCCAGGCTCTCCACTGCCGCCACCCTGCCACCCAAACAGGTCAAATGAGTCAGATGGAAATATTTGAGCGCACAAAAAACCCACCACTTACACTGAAACCCTGCAGCTGGTGTTTGGAAAAGTTGCCTTTCGAACCAAGAGTTGTTATCCCCAAATGTGCATACCAAGTGAAGTCATACTTGTACGGCTGCCATGTTTAACCTACACATTTTAAATTACGTGTACCTTTTTGGTTTCAATTTTCACAAACTTAAAATGTACCTACATTTAAGTTGTATGCATTTAAGGTATTCCATGGCACTGCGAGAATCAAAACAGTCGCTGTTATGCAATGCCACTGTAACACGGTAAACAAATGGTGAATATATTTGAAAGCATTGAATGTGGAACCAATTAAGCTTGAAGGGCTGCATTTCTAAAGCCAAGCGGAGAGACCATTTCGAGTATTTAGTTTTTGTCATTAACAAAACATTGATTATTCTCTCTACTTTAAAAATCACATGCCACCTTTACGCAGTTAGATGAAACCGAAACGCATTCTTATCGGTGCCTTGGAATATTTGTGCTGTGTTTAGGATCATAGCTACCAATGGCTGTGATCTTCATTTGTCACGTTACCCACAATGCACTTTTTTTCTGGAGTGACATGCTGGCGCAGTGGTAAATATTCACGCCTCACAGTATTAAGGACCTGAGTTCCGTTTCTGACTCTGGTGCCTTTGTGTGGTGTTTGTATTTTCTCTCCCTGTTCTGCATGGGTTTCCTCATATGGCCAAAAACAATGTAACTGCCATTTGCTAAACATCCAAAAGCTGTAAAGAAATGACCTGAAATGTACACAATTCGCATTGAACATAGCAAAGATAATCATAATAAATATATTATATTCTTGTGCATGGCAATTTGTTCCGGAGCCGAATGTCAATGTCGAGGACTGCTCCCCACCAGAGGGCGTCGGGAGATAGTTCGTGTAGTATTGCTGTTCTCTGTTGAAAGAACGCAGACTACAGTGGTGCACTATATGGTTCATAGTTTGGGTTTCATGGCCACAATTGCACTACTGTGGCTTGTCTTTAATGTATATCTTTTTGAGTGTCTATGTGCCTCTATGGGTTTACTGAACAGTCCATAGTTTGGATTGCATGGCCACAATTGCAGTACTGTGGCTTGTCTTTAATGTATCTCTTTTTGAGTGTCTATGTGCCTCTATGGGTTTACTGAACAGTCCATAGTTTGGATTGCATGGCTACTATCGCACTATTGCGGCTTGTCTTTAATTTCTGCGGTGGCGAGATGTTAACTCCCTCGTCTGGTATGCAGGCCGTGGGTTCGATGCCGACCCTGCTGCCTGTATATTTGGAGTTTTCATGCTCTCCCCTTGGTGACGTGGATTTTTGTCCAGGTCTTCTGGTTTTTCCCTCCACATTTAGAATCAATGTGCATTCAGAGTATTCGGCTGATATACATTTCCACGTGATAAACCACTTCGTTGAGCTATCTTTTGTAGCCAAGTCGCTTCTGTAAAAGAGCCATATAGTTAATTTGGCCTTACCTGGCAACATAAAAACAAGTTTAGTTTATTTCCCATTCATGAAGGAGAAGTGCGCATAGGCGTGCTGCCGATGCTCCGTCGCGGTCTCCATTTCGGCCACCAAAGCGTCGCCGCCGCACGGTGAGCCCCACCCGTTATGCGTTTTTGTATCGCCTTGAACACAATGGCGCATTAACTTGAATCAAAGAGTAGTCCGTCGAGCAAAATAATAACGAGAGGAACGTATGATGAGACAGTGGACAATGACTTAAAAGATGAACCCTCTGGCAAGCTGCAATCTGGATGCAATCTCATCACATTTTCCATATCACGATTGAGTCTACAGCTGTTCTCACCATTTGCTTTTGGCAGTGATTACTGAATTCTCAGCAACGGTGCTGGCGACATTGTGGTCTGTGGTGACCAAGTGTTGCTTTTAGTTGGCTCCAAAATGTTTCTGGCAAGAGTCCATTATGAATCCAAGATCAACAATGTTTATCGTGAAATAATTGGTTCCACATGGAAAAGCTTATTGTTTTACAATGAACTTCAATATTTACGGCCCGTTTTAAATGTTGTTTTGGAGCAGTGATATAAATACATCCTTAAAGTTAAGTTGAAAATCACATGCCATCTTTATGCTGCTACATCAGCGTGTGGGAATTTTACGTGTTCCCACATTGAGTGTTAGACACTGTATCAGTAAAATGTCCGATTGGTGTGACAACATGAAGAGATATTACCACACGCTCATAATTATTCATGGACACAAGATTTAGGTATCAATTCAAGCCCAAGTAAGACGTGGGAGTCCAAGAAAATAAGCATTGGTTTATATTATGAATTTGCTTAACATCTGTCACGTTTCTATTTTATTTTGTTTAACCACGTGAGAACTCAAGAGACCAGGCTGATCCATGTGACATGGATCATCAAAATGACAAGCGTGTAAATATAACTAATATACAGAAAAAAGCCTGTCCAAATTCTGATCTCAGTGATATTTTGCTCAATGAACATTGAGGCGTTCGGTGCTGATCTCTGTATACAGCCCTCAAGCCAATGGTGGATATTCCACATTCATATTATGGGGACGAGTCTATCCGTATTAAAAACACTGTTGCATTCCCCACAAAGTGGTACGAAGCTTAGTGACCCCAGAGGGATGATGGGTTTAATCAATCCCAAACCAGGATTTGAGCTTGCAACTTTATGAGTCGCTCGCTCTACCGCTGAGACACCTGGTCTGATTTGTTTTACATTTGCAAATCCTATTTTTGTCAACAAGATCCACATTTCTTCCCATAATTTGTGGATCCATGAGGATTTGTAGAGAATCTGTATCAGATAAGTACTAACTTACACGACTGCAACATAGCCGCCAGAAATAAAGTATTAATGCTGTGGCGTGACTCCCCATACTCTGAGTTTCAGTGTTTTCAGGAATTGAGGGTAAGTGCACTTCAAGGTGCACCCTAACAGCAGCTATCCCGACAGTTAAAAACACAACACGTTCATAAAAACAGATTGACATCGTTGGCATGAAATATTCACATTCTTCTCTAATGAGCAGTATCACATAAAAAATATCCCGTCATTCCTTTATTGAGCATATAGCAATAATAACTCCGCTTTGGGTAGGGGTGTGAAATACACATGCGTATTTGCAGGGACAAGTCAATCGAGTGTTGACTTCTCACAGTAGTAGCCGTTTGGGTAACCCTGGGGGTTTGATGGGTGAGATGATCCTGACCTGCGATTTGAACAACTGCACCACCCAACCAGGAATAACGCCAATTCCCTGCGGGGCGGTGACACGGCCGAGCGGGAGGGCGTTCGCCCGCTTGTTGCAGAGGTTCGCGGTTCAAATTCTGCAGGCCACCATGGTTACTACTACGGTGTGGCTCGACAGTGGACGTCAAATATCCTGTGACATCATGGTTATAACTTCGGTGCACCTTAAATGTGAAATACTGCTTCACAGTGAACGTTAATCATCACGTGATGTCATTCGATGTAAAATTTGAAAATTACCTGCAAAGAACTAAATTGGGATGACACACAGCAACAAGGCCCCCTACTGTGAACCTCCTGTAGAGCAGTGTTTTTCATTTCAAAGCCCGCGGGCCACTGGCGGCACCGGTGGCCTTTAGTACGGCTGCCGACAATACACAAATTTGAAAACACCCCACCATCGTGCTGTCAAACCCCAATGGTTACAAATGTGTGGCGGCCCTCACAGTGATGATGGTGAAAGTGACCCCCCCCCCCCATCTGAAAATGATTGGACACTGGTTGTAGGCTGTGTTTGTGAAGCACAGCAGTACCTTCCTTCTTCATTGCCTTGTACTATAAGAACGGCGCAAAATACCAAATGTACTAAATGAATGAGGTCGTCGCGAATTATTTCAATATTTATTTCATAAAGCTAATATTCAAATAAAAAAAAAACTTTTTGCATTGATATAAATGCATTTTTTTTATTTTCTTCCCTCAAATACAGTGCACAAATACAACTTGTAACATACGTGGGAATAGTTGTACATTCAAATCTTACCCAATTTTGTTGAACTGGGAAAAAAACTGAGCGAGTGTTACGCCAGCCAACAATATAAACCATTGGTATATTTATTTTGTTACGCCGAGTAGCAAGAGATGCTGGCAGAGACGAGGGAAATCTTGGCACCAAGAGGAATTACGTGAAATATTCCTCAGGAAATGATAAACGTGCACTGGAGATTGTCTGTATTACGGATATGCAGCACATTTATACATCTTAGCAGGATACATATAGGTAAGGGACACGAGAGATATGCTCCTAAATGTGTACTTTAGTCTGTTGTTTACTGCAGTCCACCCACAACTCAAAGAAACCGCTGATTTGTCAGCGTTCGCAAAGTGGTTTAATTCAGGAGTGCTTGTCCGTATGATAATGACTCCAAAAAGTATGAGGATTTTTAAAAGTTGTATCGTTTATTTCACGGTTAAGTTATACTATTGCTTAAACACCCTGAACAGATTCCATCGATCTCAATCTCCTGCACCCTGAAGGAAGCCCTTTGTTGTTGTCGTGTCTCGGGAACTTGATAAATACACTTTTCAGTTCGTAAATAAATGTAATGGCATTGCGGTGTTTCTGATAACAGAGACCAGTTTATCTCATGGGTGCTTCTGTGACAAACAGTCTGGATATTGCTAAATTTATGGCTAAACAAAAACAAAAAAAAACATTGTAATTGGCATTGGCCCAAATTTCACGATGCTACAAATGTACATGAAAATTACTGAATTGGGATTACACGGAGCGAGATCATCCCTGATGCGAACAATTTGGCAGGGGCTCCTCTTGAAGAAAGAGTCTCAAAATTCAGAGTCTTTCCTGGGTAATCATAATAAAAATAATTAACTTAGTTAATTTTTTTTAAACGCCTAGTAATTTTAGGTAAATCCCACGTATGCCATTAAAAAAAAAACAGCACAATAAAAATGGACAGTTTACACAGATACAATGAAGACCATGTGGGCAGTTCCTAATTTGTATTGTGCTCATGTAAAGTCGTTTTTTTAAATGTAAAATAGCATCAGAGTCCAACACGCAGTCATAAAACGTGAGAGTCCGAGGCAACTGATATGCCAATCTCTGAATGTGTATATAACTAGAAAATTAGAAGTAAAAATTTTAACTTTAAAATAATTATGTAATTCTTAAGAATTATAGCACCTATATCTTTGGTTAATCAGTGGGGATACGTTGAGCCGAGATACGAACAACAGGCACAGAAACAATTTGATATCACAAACGTGTAACACTTTGTGTTCACTGCTATGCAGGTTATTAGAACACTTTTCAGCTGTGCTTTACAAGAGCGGCTTGTGGTCCCATGTCACCGCGGAGTGTCCCTGCTCCCACGAGACCTGGAAATAACACGGACAGGTTGATATGTATGTATGTATGTTGAACTTCTTTCGCACCGTATGTAGCCAACCAGCTCATCGGAGATGCGGGGGGAAGGACAACAAACTAAACACTAAGAGCAGTCCTAAAGAAATTCGTTTTCAATCTAGACTTAAAAGTGCATAGCTCCAGTGGCTTCCTAATATCGGAAAGAAAGTTCCAGATGGCAGCAGCAGCGCATCTGAAAGCGCGCGATGCGGTGACCGTCTTTGTTCGATAGCCAGCCGAAAGCCGCTGCTGCGAGGATGATCGGAGTTTGCATGATCATGGTTTTTGCTCGTTGACGAGATCAGCAAGGTGGTTTGGTTCAATTATGACAACCACTTTGTGTGTAATAACGTGCAATGAGGTTCACACGTCCACAATACAGATGGTAGCACAGTTGGCAACACTCAATTGACCAAATATGCCTCATGTCAAACTTGGGTGGCACTCATGCAACTCTGCCGTGCCCCAACTGTTGACCTTCCGTCGTTTCAGTTTTACCCGATATGTGGAGACTGTACAATGAGTATTGTTTGAGTAGAGGTGTGGATTGAGGTGTCTGTGGGGAACCCACCGGTGGTAAGGCATACAGACTCGCATTCCATGTGCGAGTCGAAGCGGTTGGCGTTGCCCGTGCAGCCACGGTACACAAACTGCATACAGCTTCTCTGCGTCTGGTCGTAATGCCACTTCACTGAGTAGTCATAGCAGCTGCCTTTGTCCAATGGAAGTGAGCAGATATCTGAATGCACTGAGAAAGACAACATTTCATGAGCCTATATAAAATGTTACATACCTCTTAAATGTGTTGGCTTTAAATGTGGTGAAGGCAGATTGAAAGCAGATGCAGGCTGCATCTACTTCACATCAGGTCTCTAATTTTTTTAACTACAGCGTTGCAACCAATGGGTTTAGAGTGAGATTTGTTTACTTCAGATTTTAATCGCCTGATGTACATCCAGTATTTATTATTGAAATGCACTATGGTTTAAATACGAAATAATTTTAAACGGGAGTCAAGTATTTGGAACTTGACAAAAATTCATACCTGCACTGGGTGTAAAGTCATGTTGCTGTACTTGGGCAGATCCAGCACTCTCTGCAATAAAATAACTCGACTTATACGGCATTCAACGCTGCATGAGAACACATTTTGCAGAGATTCTCAAAAATAAACTTTACAGACGAAACTATGACCATGGCAAGCCTCATATGGAACGTCAGATCTTCTGGCTGTATGCAGTCATCTTAAAAACCAATGTCTCTATCAGTCGTAAAGTATTAATTGTATTTGGTTTTAGAATCATCGTTTCATAACAGAATAGTTATCCATATTTTCACCGTAATAAAAGTAACAATGTTCAGCTCTTTGTCAATCCACTGCTGGATGTATGTTGAACTTCTTTTGCACCATATGTAGCCAAGCGTGCTAATCGGAGGTGCGGAGAGTGACAACAAACTAATCACAAAAATAAGTTCTAAAATAAATTAGTTTTTAATCCATATTTAAAAGTGCATAGCTCCAGTGGCTTCTTAATATCAGAAGAGAATTCCAGACGTGCCACAGAAGCGCATCTTATGAAGACCTCCATAACACCTCATCGGTCATGGAAGGGGGACGTAGACTTCAGGAGTTGTTCAAGAAGAAGGAAAAGACTGAACCCAAAGTGTTCTACGGCCAGGCTTGCGGATGAATTTGAGAATGGCATACAGCATAACAAACGACGCCCAGATTACCGTGTCACTAAGCGGACGTGAGGTGGCACTGAGCGCCACGCTGTGCATGCAGGATAGTGAAAAAATAAATCCTGGACTGCAAGTGTGACTACTACCAGAATATGCACAACCGTCTGCCCGCACGCTTCCTCTATTGAATCGGACGTCTGCTCATCTGGCACCACACCCAACCTAAACCATTTCTGAGGATGCAGCAACACTGCAAGAAGTGCGGCAGGCCAACAAAAAGCTGGGCAACGGACGCGCTTGCATGCCCGCATCGCATCTCTCCAGCTACTCAAGTGTGCAGGACAGCCAGAAAGTTTTGCTTTCCATGATCTTTTCTTGAGCGTGCGGAAGTCAGCGCCATCTGCTTCTGCCAGCTAACTTTAAGCAAGGCACCATCCACCTTTCCGTGACAGGGAAAGGAACCAAGGTCAATTCGCGTGAGCTACCGACTGAATCGCGACTGTCAATTCCAAGGTTCCTTGTGTCCTGCTGGCCAAGCTGAAAGCGTTTCTTCAGCAGCGTTGCTGCCCACAGCGGTCAGAGTTCACAAAGCGTTTATCGACTTTAAATGCATTTCCTGCCTTGCCTCTTGTCGCCTAGCTGCATCGAGAGTTCAAAAACCCCCCTTCAAGTGGCATACATTGACATGACGGCAGAATTAACTTCCGTTGCCAGGGCAGCACTGTGGAAGGCCCCAAGAGCCACTGGAACACCACCAGCTGGTTCGGATCTCTCGCCTGGCACGACCTCATGTGTTCAAATCGGTAACAGTCTGCTCATTTATCCACTTTTGTCCGGCGTCCATCACGGTTGCATCATCGCCCTGTCCCTTTTCTGCCCAGCCATCGACAGGATCATGTCAAGATGTACCAGGCACCTTTGGTAATGCAGTCAATAGACAGCCCGTTCACCGGCTTCGACTGCGCTAAAGGTGCGGTCTTCTCGATGCAAGGCCTGAGCACGTGGCCCGGCCCTCCACTACGGCTCTCACACACACGTTCCGAGCAGAAGAGACGAAACCACAAAAACCATCGGTTGCGCTACCGCACCATCTGCTGTTTTTCTGTCAGTGGCCAAGGGGGTCGAAGCCACATCTACATTTTGATGGTGATTATATCGCTCTTGTAAATAACATGCCGGAGAACTATCCGGCTCACGTTGCCCCCCCTCCCCCCGCTACGCATCACGTCAAGGCGCGGAGCAAGAGCAGCAGGCGGCAACTGTAAGCATGTCCAATTTACCTGCCTCTTCACACCTGGCCACGCCACATCAAGACGGAAACGGGCCCTCTATGACCCAGTAAGCAGAGAGTGCTGAGAGTGGCTAGCCGGGCCGGAGGGCGTGACGACCCTCTGCCGTGCAAGTGTAGGAGCAGTCAGGGGTCAAGTGTAGGAGCAGTCAGGGGTCAAGTGTAGTAGCAGTAAGGGGCCAAGTGTAGTAGCAGTCAGGGGTCAAGTGTAGTAGCAGTAAGGGGCCAAGTGTAGTAGCAGTAAGGGGTCAAGTGTAGTAGCAGTAAGGGGCCAAGTGTAGGAACAGTAAGGGGTCAAGTGTAGTAGCAGTAAGGGGTCAAGTGTAGTAGCAGTAAGGGGCCAAGTGTAGTAGCAGTAAGGGGCCAAGTGTAGTAGCAGTCAGGGGTCAAGTGTAGTAGCAGTAAGGGGTCAAGTGAATTAGCAGTAAGGGGTCAAGTATTGTAGCAGTAAGGGGCCAAGTGTAGTAGCAGTAAGGGGTCAAGTGTAGTAGCAGTAAGGGGTCAAGTGTAGTAGCAGTCAGGGGTCAAGTGTAGTAGCAGTAAGGGGTCAAGTGTAGTAGCAGTAAGGGGCCAAGTGTAGTAGCAGTAAGGGGTCAAGTGTAGTAGCAGTCAGGGGTCAAGTGTAGTAGCAGTAAGGGGTCAAGTGTAGTAGCAGTAAGGGGCCAAGTGTAGTAGCAGTAAGGGATCAAGTGGTATGCTGCTGAGCCTCGACAAAAACACTTTCATTCCGTCCCTCTCTTCGGTTTCTCGACATGAGGCCGCATAGCTGCTTATCCTCTCAACTTAAACATCACTTCCTTGTGATTTAACTTCGGGGAAAGCCTCTCCCGGTGTTTCAACAAATAGACACCTTAATCCAGTCTTCAGAGCGCGGTCTTCAGTTGTTGAAGGAAATATATTTGCTATTTTAGATCTCCCCATCGCTCACAGCTGAAGTGAAACTCGGTGTGAGCAGGATGCTTTATATCCTGGAGATTAGAACTGGGTTCATCCCCAAATTAATAATACATTCTGGCTTCGGTTTCTGAAATGTATGTTGAATATATCGTGATTACATTTTCAGAAACATTTTCATGTTGTCGCAGGGATACATCTATCATCCTTTGAGAATTAGAATATTTTAATTGAGCCAGTTTTATAACACTTTCGATAATAAATATACCTCAATTTTGACTAATGGCAGTTATGGAACAATTATTCCCCCGGATATTTCTACTACGCAGGTGCAGAGTTGTTTATGCATAATCTCCTTCTGATTGAAAATTGGTATAAAGTGTGGCATTTTATTTGGAGTGCACGTGGTCATCTATAAGAGGAAAGAGACACTGTTTTGAACAGTGCAAAGTCATTTTAAAAGAAGCCAAACCCGGTCAATATTTACGTAACTTCTATTGGAGCACATCAGCCTAGGAGCTCTGTTATCCAAAAGGTTGTATTGCTATTTAACATCGTTATATTTGGTTGACATTTTCATTCACATTTTACTTGGAATCGCACATTTAAGTGCCAAATGAACAACTTTAAATCGCTTCAACCACCACGCGATTTACAAAATTATTTGCTCTTCCACCTAACAGTGAAATAATGTAGAGCCATGTTGGTCATAATGGGTTGTTTAATATCTCATGAATGTGGAATTCTACAGATCGATTTTAATTGACAACATTTCTATATTAACTTTGAAAACCCAAAGTGTTGGAGATATCAGAGGGTCGCTGATGACAAGGAAAAGGATATTGTTATACTGGAGATGGGCATTTTAACATCACGTGTGTTTCAGCAAAGTATTTTCAACATACATTATGTAAAAATACAAACATACATATTCGCAGTGGTGCACTGACCATACATACAACAAAACTCAAATAGGTAGTGGGACGAACTCCCCGGGCAATGCTTCAAACAATGCGGAGTTGTAACCGTATTTAGGAACATTTGAAGCCATAACTAACCGACTACTGTATTTGTAAAGCGACTGGTCGAATTGGCAACGTTCTGCTAATTTATTGCCACACTCAAAACATTACCCCCCGATGGTCACAACGTGGCAAAAATATAACGAGGCACGTCCCACTACCTAAAAATCCGGGATTCTTGCGAGCACAGTTCAACGCCAATACTAAAGTCGAAAAATGTATTCTGCTTCATACACGGCGGTTTACGTTTCATGGTCAACATTTGTACGGCAAGATCCGCAAGTAGTACCTGTCTGGGCATGTATCCAGATGGGCCTGCTTTCTGCGTGCCCATAGACAGCAGTTACTCCCACATAATAGGACGTGTCGGGAACCAGAGTATGAAAAGTGTGTGCCGCATGCTTGGCATCCTTTTCCACGCTCCGCGTCTCGCCACCAGGGAGCTTTTGAATGTACACATTGTACGCGGAGGGATGAACATTCCGGGGAGGGGACCAGCGGACAGTGACACTCTCCTCCCCTACAGCATGCAAGACCACCGACCCTGGTGAGGATACCCCTGCAAAGCACATAACATCCGCACGGGCATGCTGTCCATTCCAAGTACATGCTGGACCATCCATGTGCTACCATGGACAAAGGCATTGTGTCAGAGACAATGCAAGACATCTCGTCAAGGCACGCATGCAAGCAGTGTTTCTCCACATCAATCTTAGCAGGTCATTGATGGATTCTGTGCTTTGTGAAAAGCATTGTAACGAGTGCTTGCGATTGATAATGAGTCATCAAAGTCTAAAGATTATTCAATATTGTGCGAGAAATTGGGATAAATGGTATCTTAAGTATTAAGTAAAACACTACTCCTAATGACAACGTAGGATTAGTATGAAATAAGCATGTGAACCAAATTAATTTACAAGTGCAGGTTAAATGACCAACTGTTACTCAAAAAGAGTCAACAGTATTCAATGCGGTATAGATTGTTGTACGTTGAAAGTGGTTATATGAATTTATTTCCGTCTTAATTGCTAGAAATATATAAAAAAAATGCAATCCAAACATACAGCAGCCTAATCACATTTAAATATATCGATAGCTGTTAGTTTCAATATTCGTCAGCCATAATCATTCAACTGCTGGATCTCGCCCCCTCATGGTCCTGCTGTGTACCTGTTGTCCCTTCTATGTACCTGCTGTGTCCCCGCTATGTACCTGCTGTAATTCTGCTTTGTACCTGCTATATACCATTCCATCAAATAATCCGTTGTAAGCACTCCATCCACGTCACGGCCTCACTCTCAGATGCGCTCTCTCCTTTGGTTGCCACTCCGTCATCCTCCGATTTAACCGGCCATTGCCCCTTCTAGCAACGCGTCCTGCCCAAGGCTCCACTTAAGTTTCTTCACAGGTTGGATTACGTCATTACCCTGTGTATGTTCTCCCTTCCATGTTCCTCTTTCTGTTCCTAAATGTAATTCCAATCATGCATCTAGCTGATCCTCCAGGCATTTGAAAATGTTGCTTAGAGTTGGCTTAAATCAGCTGTGCGCCGACCCAGATTTGTTTTATGTTAATCTTCGTTTTGCGAATTCGCCAGGTTTATTTGTAAAGTTCAAGTCAAGCTAATGTGTAGTTTCACCAATTGGGCTCTTGCATTACCACGTCTGAGATTACTTTTTAAAGGTACTCATTATTTCCATCTCCGTGCTGTGAACTCCAATGGATATGCTCACCTCTCTCACTTGTCACTCCAATACCAAATGTATCAATCACCCTCTCTGTAAGTTTGTGTGCCCTCTATCGTCATGCAAGACTGAGCTTACGATGGAGCAACGCCTCTGTAACTCCAAGCTAATAAATGTAACCGAGCGCTTCTGGTCTGTATGTACGTGGTTGGACTCTGCACTTCAATGCTGTGAAATGTTTACTTGTTTGATGATAACATTGTAAGTTCAACACTTACCACACAATTACTGTAATAACCTTTACTGAAATATGCAATCCTGTCATAAATTAAGGGCTTTGCTACTGTCAATGTTAATAATGATAAAAGTTCTGCAAACAATAAAAAAAATTATATTGAAAACCCATAATTTACGTTCGTTGAAAGGAATTCGGAGAAAATAATTTTTGTAAGGGTTCCATATAACTTGTCGCGACTATGTATGTATGTCTAGCTTCTTTCGCACCGTACCTAGCCAACCATGCTAATCAGAGGTGCAAGTTGGAGAGATATACGAGCAGAAGGGTAGATGACATGCTAAAAGAACTATGGTCAGAAAAGGGCCGTAACATAATATACATAAATCATATGTACTGGGATTAATATTTTCATGGCCAAACAAGCTTTAAAAAATATGTATGTTTATAGACTAGATTCTCCAGGCCGTGCGCTGGCATCATGCAGATTGTGCACATGAGCGGATAAGGTAAGTGAGATGCCACAATCGGTGCTCTCAGGCTGGGATATCTGACACGCCAGAGACCAAATTTCGATTTAAAGCTTTCCTGACTGCAGGGATTCATATTCTTGGTTTTGTCGGTAAAGTCACATAGAAGGGAAATAATAAAATAATAAAAATAAAACAATAAAATTCTCACGACGTTTCGATTGCAACACAAGCAATCATCATCAGGTGTGAAAATTTTATTGCTGTGGTTTTCACACCTGATGATGATTGCTTGTGTTGCAATAGAAACGTCGTGAGAATTGTATTGTTTTATTTTTATTATTTTATTATTTCCCTTCTACGTGACTTTGCCGAAAGAACCAAAAATATGAATCCCTGCAGTTACGAAAGCTTTATTCGAAAACCTACGTGTACAGTTGATTAAACAGGCTTGTATGCAATTATCAAAGTGCTATTTTAAATTCTTGAATCATTTTAATGAATTCTGCACAGTCGATACCCCCGCAGTGTCGACAAGTCATTATGGAAAGTCCCCGCTGGCATACCTGTGTGGGCATGCACACCGACCGGCTGGCTCTCTGAATGACCGCTCAGCGCCGTCACAGCCACGAAATACAGAGTGCCGCGCTCCAGGCCATCAAACGTGTGCACCTCACGCTCGGCATCCAAGCTCACGCTCCACGTCTCGCCATCGGGGAGCTTCTGAATGTACACGTTGTACGAGGAGGGACGAGCATTCCGCGGTGGGGACCAGCGGACAGTGACACTCTTCTCCCCGACGGCATGCAAGACCACCGCCTCGGGCGGAGACATCCCTGCGAAGCACATAACATCCGCACAAGCTTGCTGGCCAATCTGCAAACGCAGAGACGATGGCCCGCGTAAGAGCAGCAGCAGGGTACTTATCGTTGCAGATTTGCGACGTTGTTTAGAAACCTCGCCGTGTGCTGATCGTTCAGTGTAATGAATATCCTAATGTACGAATAAATAATGTGTTAAGCAGAAAGTAAGCTGAACAGAGAAGAAGAACAATGACGCAATCTTGAAAAGCATCAACAAAACAACAATGATAGTGGATGCCATCAGAAGGCGAGAGAAGAGCTGGATTGGACATTGGTGAAAGATGTTACAGAGGGAGGAATGGGAGGGATCAGAGCGAGAGGGGAGGCCAAGGATCGGGATGCTAGAGGAGCTGAAGGATGCGATGCTAGAGGAGCTGAAGGATGGGATGCTAGAGGAGCTGAAGGATGGGGCGTTTGCGGGAATGAAGAGGAGGGCAGAGAACGGTCAAGGATGGACACGATGGCAGCCAAATAAGCTGCCGCTAAGGTACGGCGCCACAAGAAAGAGTTTCAGGTATTATGTATGAAACCCATGTCATAGCAATGTTATAGATTAACGTTTCATTGACCATTTTTACTTGACATAGCAACTACGAGGCATACAGGATTGCCTATTCCAAGAATACACATCTGTGTTATGCTTATCAATGTATTTTAATTACTCTTTGGTTCTATTCGGTAAAGTCACGTAGGTAAAAAAATAAAACAACAAAAATCACGACGTATTGGCCACAACACAAGTGGCCTTCATCAGGTGAAGGGACCAGACTGTCTCGAGGACAGCGATGGAGTGAAACACAGCCAAGCTCAGACCGCGACCTTTAAGCTGTGTGAGAGTAATTAAGGTGCCTTGACAAAGGAATTAGCATAAAAATTTGCATTTAATAGGCTGACTTAGCATGATGAAAGGTAGGGAGGGGGTCGACCTGTGCAGGCTGGCGAGGGGGCACGGCAGCGTCCACATGCTGTTGGTGTGAAAAGGGGATTTTAAGAAGCTGCAAAAGTTTGGGGTACCACTACTTTAATTCTAGATTTAAAGCTTTCGTGACTGTAAGGATCCATACTCTTTGGTTCTATTCGGTAAAGTCACGTAGGTAAAAAATAAAACAACAAAAATCACGACGTTTCGGCCACAACACAAGCGGCTTTCATCAGGTGAGGGGACCAGGCTGTCTCGAGGACAGCGCTGAAGTGAAACACAGCCACGCTCAGACCGTGACCTTTAAGCTGTGTGCGAGGAAACAAGGTGCCTTGACAAAGGAATTAGCATAAAAATTAGCAGTTGTACCTGCGGTGATTGCTATATCGGGGAGACAAAGCGACATGTCTCTGACCGAATTCGCGAGCACAAATCAGATTTGAAACATGGCAGAACGAATTCTTCCGCCGTGGCTGATCACTGTTACAACGCTGTGGGTGATCATGATATAATTTTCTCCGATACCAAGGTTCTTTGGAAACCCACGGGTTTTTATCAGAGATTTGTTCACGAGGCAATTCAGATCTACAAACACAGACACAATTTCAACCGAGAAGATGGTTTCAAATTAAGCAACCATTGGAAAGATGTTCTAAATCGAACCAAACATTAAACTAATTTTCAATGGTACAGTATATTTTTTCAAGTAGTGGTACCCCAAACTTTCGCAGCTCTTAAGGATTCCCTTTTCACACCATCAATGGGTAAGCTCCCCCTCCCCCCCCCGCGCCAACCGGCATGTTCACCCGCATGTACACCACCTCTGCACCGTTCATCATGCTAAGTCGGCCAATCAAATGCAAATTTTTATGCTAATTCCTTTGTCAAGGCACCTTGTTTCCTCGCACACAGCTTAAAGGTCGCGGTCTGAGTGTGGCTGTGTTGCACTCCAGCGCTGTCCTCGAGACAGCCTGGTCCCTTCACCTGATGAAGGCCGCTTGTGTTGTGGCCAAAACGTCGTGATTTTTGTTTAATTTTTTACCTACGTGACTTTACCGAATAGAACCAAAGAGTATACCACTACTTTAACTTTACCACTACTTAAACTTTCGCAGCTTCTTAAAATCCCCTTTTCACACCACCAGCATGTGGACGCTACCTTGCCCCCTCACCAGCCTGTACAGGTCGACCCCCTCCCTACCTTTCATCATGCTAAGTCCGCCTATTAAAAGCACATTTTTATGCTAATTCCTTTGTCAAGGCACCTTAATTACTCTCACACAGCGTAAAGGTCGCGGTCTGAGCTTGGCTGTGTTTCACTCCAGCGCTGTCCTCGAGACAGTCTGGTCCCTTCACCTGATGAAGGCCGCTTGTGTTGTGGCCGAAACGTCATTTTTGTTTTATTTTTTACCTACGTGACTTTACCGAATAGAATCAAAGAGTATGGATCCTTGCAGTCACGAAAGCTACAAATCTAGAATTGTATTTTAATTGTTAGCAATAGTATTGTATGGGAATCAAACTATAAGGGCGAAGAAACATCCTAAAATTTCTGCAGTCGGGAAGCACATCACATCAGTCAGGCACTCTTTGGTCACAGAGAACCGCACTACTTAATGTGTTACTGCCACTGGCTCCTCTAAACCCAGCTAAGGACGAGGCGCTCCTCCGCGCTCCCTGAACAGGCCAATCGTGTTGTACTTGTTCACTGAGCTATAGCCTGAGCCAAGAGGAAAACCAACCCTTTGTGATAAGGTCAGGCTCCAGCTCCTCTGGGATGAGGGGCACCAGTATAGCAGTGATGACCGCTCAGGAGAGTGAGCGTGGTTGGCGCAAAAGGAGATTTGGTGGTGCAGGGCCCACATCGGCACGCCGCTAGCGCTGGCACTGTTTCAGATTATTTTGTACATTGGTGACCGGGGGGATTCTCGACTGGTTGTGCTGGACAACATGGGTATCCGCACGCTGAACACGGCATCCCATGTACGTGTGTATGTTGGACTTCTTTTGCACCGTACATAGCTAACCGTGCTAATTGGAGGTGTGGGGGTATTAACCCCCTGAGCCACCAGGATATCGCGAAACACAACACCACTCTAACCATCTGAAATACATCGTTTTGTTGAATTTCTTTAATGTGGAGTGAGAAGATAGCAAGGTTTCCTAGATATGCAATGGGAAAATTACCGTTTTCCATAAGGTAATTTGGGCTCTTACGACTCTTCAAAATTCAGAATCCACGTTTTTCTCACGAATTATCTATTGTGAAATCCATCTACATTTTTTGTCAGAATCCAGGGCGAGCTAGTGAACATGCCAAATTATCTCAGAATGCACTCAATGTGGTTTAGTTAAATGTCAACAGCATATTTTCCCTTTTTCGTCAACCGCGCTGCCAACGTTTTATAAGATACAACTTTCAGAAATATGGCAACCGCCAACCTAAGGCAACAAAAACCTTCAGTCTGAGAGATAGTAATTGCATCGTTTCTGACACTCGCTCTTCTCAAGGATAACGAGACCCTGTGCCAGTAAACCTGCTGCTCTCGGAGTACACTGACTCATGTGAGTCTAGCTGTCTGTTGGTCTCGAGGAAGTTTTAACAAGAGGTTAGGCCTTGTCCCAGACAGTAGAGCGCACTTGTCGTTTCCCATAACAGAGTGGCAGAAAGTGGTAATGTTTTTTTTACATATGTACACAGACAGCATGGAAAATAAGTTGTCTCCAATTTCCTAATTTGTTGCCACTGACAACAGCTCCCAACAGACAATAATAAGGCATTCCAAGTGCATAGCAGTGAAAGGCCAATATAAATGGAATACAGAATACTAAATGTATATACCAGACACACATCAGCAACCATGTTCCATGTACTGCTGGATGAAGACCGCCGCAAGGTATCACCACGTGTCATGCTCTCATGGTGTAACGATCCATCAAGCTCCTGCACCCGAGCGGATTTTATCGCTCCGTCACAATGGTAGATGGAGACGGAGTGTTGTTTTGGCTGCCACTCGAACTCTAACCAAAGCCAAACCTTTATCCTTAGAGGCTAAGAATAAAGGTTTGGCTGCTCCTGTGGCCACACCTGAACTTTTATACAGTTAATTGTGGATGGACATGGCTGGCTTTCCCCACTAGCTCCAGTTCTACCACATTTGAGATATAATTCACTGTGGGCCCCCAAGGGCTGTGTTTAATTTGCACGCATTGCCTGTGAAGACCAGGGTGCCTGCGATCGAAGTTCTTCATATGTGCCTGGGTATCCTGCTCGGTCACAGGAGGAATCCTGCTCCGCCGCCTCCAAAGATGAAGCAACGTCTCAAACAATTTGCCCACCCAGCCACGCAGCATCACCTCGACTCAAAAGTCCATCCAACTAGCTGGACATTCTGTACGAGGCATCTAATAGTTCACCCCCACTCGCGAACATCTTGAATTGTCCCAATCATCCTTCCCAGGAGTGTCCCAATCACTCCAGCGCTGTCCTACCTGTCCTACCAGTCCCAATCACTCCAGCGCTGTCCTACCAGACAGTCTCGCCCCCTTCACCTGATGAAGGCCGCTTGTGTTGTGGCCGAAACGTTGTGAGAATATTAATGTGTTATTTTATTTTATCAATTTATTATTTTATTATCATTCTACGTGACTTTACCGAAAGAACCAAAGAAGTTGTCACAATCAATTTTTGCACTGGGCGGCAGGGTGGTGCGGCGGTAACACTAGCAGCCTCACATCACACAGGGCCTGGGTTCGACTTCTGACTCGAGCGCCTTGCTGTGTAGAGTTTGTGTGTTCTCCACACTGATCTGTATGGGTTTCTTGGCCAAACATCCTAATTCTGAAAATCACCTGGAAATTACTTAATTGGGATTACAGGCAGCTGCACCCCCCCCCCCCCCCCGTAAAAAAGTCCTAAGACTCAGTGAGGCTTTCTTGGGTAATACAAAGTATAATAATACAAATTAAATGAATCTATTCTCTTAGTCCCATTCTTACAACATATTTTGCATGTTGTTTATTCTTTCTGGTTTGTAGATGTATGTAATATTCACATATCATTTGCATAAAGACAAAGATTCCCTGTATAGCCTTAACAGACCTTTGTTAAGACTAGAGGAGGCCAACGACCGGTTCAGATAATCGTCACTGGTGTTGGTGGCCAAGTCACCAAGTTCGTAGCGCAGCGCGCTAACCACTGAGCCACACACACACGCACACTATTTCAATGTGCAATGGACTGCTGTATATATTTAAAACTGCTTTTGCTCTTGATTTGAAGCTTTCGTGACTGCAGGAATCCATACTCTTTGGTTCTTTCGGTAAAGTCACATACGTGTACGTACTGCTTTTTGTGTTTAGTTTGTTGTCCTTTCCCCGCACCTCTGATTAGCATGGTTGGCTTCGTATATGGTGCGAAAGAAGTTCAACATTTATACATACAAAATGGATGTGGAAATCTATTTTGACGGGGTGAAATCGACACATCGTCACATGCCTAAGATCCACCGCCAGAAACCAGACACGCTGTCACATTCCCTTTGGGTGTGTGCGAGCGAGCGAATGGTGGTGGTGATGTGTCGGCCATACGTGTGGCCTGGCTCGCCATGTATCTCTCGATATGCTGCCTCTGCCGGATGGAGTTGACAATGACCGTGTACTCGTGGCCACACTCCAGGTCTGACACCAGCATCTCAGTGGCCACGGTGCGCTGCTTCAGGATGGGCTTCCGTGTGTCCACGTCGATCACCACCACCTCGTACTCTGACGCGCCACTGGCCGCCATCCACGACACTACGAAGCTCTTCTCCGTGATGTTCTTTGTCGTGATCTGCTGAACGGCGTTATCCTTCCCAGGAGTGTCCTCTGCGGTGGTAAAGACGTGCATTCCAATGACGCTCGCCGGGTGAATTACCGTGAACCGCGTGAGAAATATCACCCGCATTTTCTTTCTTACACTTTACAACAGATTAACGTCTGCCATTATAGGAATATTTAAGCAATATGTTACAAAGAAATGCCACCAATTTCTTACCAAAGTAAAGTTATTGCATATAATTAATCTAAAACCTATCGTCATTAACATCAGCGACAATCAAACCAACGCTGGAGGAAGTCCTCCCCAAGCCTTCCAAATGGCGTGAATACCAAATGTACTAAATTATTACAATTATTTTCCTATAATAACAGGATGTTTAACTCTTAAGGCGTGTTACATCACAACCTGCATCCTCTGCCATCTTATGAAAAATCGGGATTTTATTGTTTGAAATGCTCAAAAGAAAATTTAGGTGCATTTTTATATACCGTAACTCAAAATGAAAATACAGTATCGTGGGTAGAATTATAGAATTTAAGGAAAGGTTTAAAAAATATATCACCGTACCTGATATGGTCACCTTAATATCCTGATAGCCACTGCACACACACACAAAAAATCCAGGTTCAGAGTGTAAAATATTTCCTCCGTGTTCCAGTTATTGGCATTGAGTATTCAACTATGATAATAATACATACATTTGTCAGGTGCATTTCATATGTAGATCCTAATGTGCCCCATGTATGGAAAGCAGGAAATAAACAGAACCTGCAGTGTAAATGGGCAGCACTAGGGCGTAAAGGTCAGTTTAAAGAAGTGAGTTTTCAAGACAGACTTAAATACATCTAACGACTCTGATTGTCTCATTAGCAAAGCAAAGCATTCCAAAGCTTGGGAGCTGCACTGGCAAAAGCCCCATCACCCCAGTAACAGAGCCGTAACGTCGGAGTACTTAGAAGAAGGTGATCCGATAATCTCAGAGACCTCGTTGGTGTAGAAATAGAAGAACAAGCCCCCAAACAACCATGATGCAGTTGGCGCCAGTGACTCCACACTCGCGTAGGCAGAGATTATCTCCATGGTGGGCCCTGAGCTCTGAGTCAATGGCAGGGACCCGGTCTCTCCTGAGGACAACCACTGCTCATTTCCCATTAAGTGGAACTCATTTTATCAGCCCTGACTGAATTAGAGGCCAAGTCAACCGTTGGCTGAGGTTGGAAATATAAACCGTGACCTTCAAATTGTGAGTTATGCACTGTCACCATAGCACCAACCAGCCGGAAGTAGCATTTATAATCATTATTCTACACGTGAATTTTTTGGCTGTATGAAAACTATCGCTTATCGCCTGATAGTTCCAATTTGGGAGTCTCACGTAACTAACCTACATTCTTACGGAATATCTTATGTAATTTAAACACACTGCATTGTCAGCATTTCAACATTTCTCTCTCTGGCTTGTCAGGTGCAAGGGTTAGCTTTAGCCAGGGGGCCTGGTGCAGCGACCTGGCCCAGCGACCTGGCCCAGTGGTAGCGCATTTGCCGCTGGTTGCAGAGGTCCGTGGTGAGAATCCAGTTGGCCATCCTGGTTAATACTGCGGGTGTGCTAAACGGGATACACCATGCGCCGTCTGCTTCACAGTGGACGTTAAAGATCCTCTGACGTCATTTGAACGAGGAGGCCGTCGTGTGCTGGCGTTATGGCCAAATTCGAAATTTACCCAACAAAAAAATTCCTCAATTGGGAACACACTTGGAAACTGTCGCCCCTCGCTGTGAAACTACCATGTTGCTGCAACATGGCAGCGCCCTGCTTCGCGATGGCCTTGCACGATAAGAATGGCGTTAATACCAAATGCAGGCAATAGTTATTCAAACTTATCAGGGCTCACTTGTCAGCTTGAGACTTGTAAAGCTCCGTGCACTTCTTTTGTGTTTCTTCATCTGGGTATTTGATGACATTTCCTGCGTAATAGTGAATCATTGTGCACAAGTGCTGTAAAAAGTCTAAATGCGCATTTACCCCTTAATGTAACACATGACACGTTTACATTTCCGATGCAGACTGTACAATGGTAAATATCAAATACTCACCAATGGCAGGCACCAAAAATATGAGAGTACAGAGTATACATATAAAACAAATGCTGTGTTGTTTAGTACGTGTAATACTCCATTATAAAGAGCTCAAGGGCATGTGTGAGTCATCAGGTAAACATGGTACACAGAATATAATTAAACGCGATTACGTATAAAGCAAGCAACTTGCACATATAAAGCAGACGTATCTTACCTGACCAGACTTTAAACAACTTCATGACGTCCTCAACGTTTGGCAGTTCAATGAAGCTAGCAGCGCGAATGGAATGCAGAGTAGAAGGCTTGCTGGAAATGAAATCTAACTCTGACTGATTGTAGTTGCCAACACCTACAGTCATAATCACAATTCCTTTGCATTTGGCCTCAAGAACAGCCCTCTGCAATATACTCTGATCTTTTAAATTCGTCTCTCCGTCCGTGAGCACAAATATAACCTTAACTTTGCGAGGGTTAGGCAAATCAATGGGGAAAATGTTGTCCAGCGCATACTTAATAGCAGTGCCAGTGAGAGTATTGCTCTCTAAATGAACCATTGCATCCACCTTTTTCTTCATGTCTTCCTTCTTTAAGCTGGAGGTGAAATCGAATTCGAGAGTGGGAGGCGAATACTGAAGTAATGCTATGCGAGTGCTATTATTGCCTCGGACCACTTCGAACTGGTCAATAATAAGTTTGAGGAAATCCTTAATATTTTGATGATCAGGAGGACGGATCGATTCGGAGCTGTCAATCACAAAAGCTAAATCTACATTCAGTATTTCTATTGGTTTTAGTGGTGGAGCACAGACGTCTGAAATGTGGAAAAATGCACAGGTTATTTCAGTATAAATCTTTGTAGGCAATGAAATCATTTATTTTAATAACTTTCACAATCCTTACCAAGTCCAGAATACATAATATCAGTTGAAAGGATTAATTCCCCCACCTCTCCCCCATAAGCTCTGCGGTCCTTTAAATATTCAGGTGGTATGGGCCAGTCATTAAGTGTTTACATCTGGGAGGAAACCAGAGCACCCAGAGAAGACCCACGTGTGTGTTAGGGGGCTGCAATGTATCCCACACGGGAACTGGGGAAGTCCACATTTGCGATACCGCAGTCTCCTGGTGAGCACAAGAAAGGCTGCGATATATGTTGAACTTCGTTTGCACCTTACATAGCCAACCGCATGGTGGAAGAACAACTAACTAAACACAAAAAGCAGTTATAAAGAAATTAGTTTTCAATCTAGATTTAAAAGCGCATAGCTCCAATGGCTTCCTAATATCGGACGGAAGAGCGTTCCAGACGGCCGCACAAGCACATCTGAAAGCACGCGATGCGGTGACCCCATCTTTGTTCGATGGTTAGCCAAAAGCTGCTGCGAGGATGACTTTTGTATGATGAGTTCAGCAAGGTATTTTGGTTAATTTGTGGCAAGCTTATTCTCGACGCCCACGGGAAGAGGGATTCACAACATTTGTGCGGTGATCCACAAACAATCGCTGCCTCCACAGTGCTGGATGACGGGCCGTGTGTGTAGCCACCACTGCCCAGCTTCATCATACTGGTTAGAATGCCTTCAGTTCTTATCCAAAGGGATACAGCGGCAGTGGGCCAGTAGTTTTCAAAATGCGCTGACCTGAGTTTGATTCCAGGCCATGGCTAATATCAGTGGTGAGTGATATCAGAACCGATCCTGAGCATCCCCCCCAACCCCTTCACCAACCCTCAGTGACCAGTGTGGCGAAGTCTGGCGAAATTACCCCCATGACTAACATCGTGTGGAGAGACCTTCATTCAGCAGCGCATTGGGAAATGGTTGTAAATCAATATTTTTGTATTGCAGTACAACCAAGTGAAAAACTAATGAGACACCACTTTTCAATTACGTGATTATCACTACGATGACGATGGTTGTTTTCCTGGGAGAGCCTCACTGAGTCTCAAGACTCTTTTTCAGGAGAGTTCTGCCGAGTTTTTTGCAGTAAGGGGCGATGCTGATGCTGTGTGTGATCCCAATTGAGTAATTTCACTGTAAGTTTTCAACATTGGGATATTTGGCTAATTTCAGTTACATTATGTGGGGTTTTATTTCAGCTACGGGAGGAAACTCTGAGGAAATCAGGGAACCACGGCGACGAGATGTTAACTACCTCGCCTGGTATACAGGAGGTCGTGGGTTTGATCCCAACCCTGACGCCTGTATATTTGTAGTTTACGTGTTCTCCCCATGGTCGTGTGGATTTTTCTCCGGGCCCTCCGTTTTTTTCCCTCCACATTTAGAAAGATGCGTTTAGAGTATTTGGCTGCTATAAATAGCTATATAGTTCAGTGGGCCTTACCTGGTAAAATATTATTTTTTTATTTTAAAATCTATGCAGAATAGGGGAAGAACATACAGACTCCACATACGAGTCAGGAATCCAACCCAGGTGCTTCTTGTTTCTGAGGCATGCACTTTGCCACTGTGCCACCCTGCCACACTTCAAGGTAAGATAACATCTAAAATAAATTACTTACCAAGACAAATAGTGCTTTTAAGAATTTTATCAATTTCCGTTTGCGATGGAACCTTATTCCTCGGAACCTGAATGACGGTCGAAGTTGGCAGTCCGATCTGGTATAAAAAATACAAGCGAAAATGCTCACGAACATTTATAAGATGCTAAAAACAATGTTATGAATGCAGCATTCCTAAGGAAGCCAGTTGCTAGGCCTGATCACAAATGATTACTTTCACAGGAAAGTGTGTAAATATTGACATACAAGTTGAATGGTAGTAGTAATACTCTTCTTTGGTTCTTTCGGTAAAGTCACGTAGAATGAGAATAAAATAATAAATTGATAAAATAAAATAACACAATAATATTCTCACGACGTTTCGGCCACAACACAAACGGCCTTCATCAATTTATTATTTTATTCTCATTCTACGTGACTTTACCGAAAGAACCAAAGAAGATGAATCCTTGCAGTCACGAAAGCTTTAAATCGAAGTAGTAATACTCTTTAGTTCTTTCGGTAAAGTCACGTACAGTGAGGGAAAAAAGTATTTGATCCCCTGCTGATTTTGTACGTTTGCCCACTGACAAAGAAATGATCAGTCTATAATTTTAATGGTAGGTTTATTTGAACAGTGAGAGACAATAACAACAACAAAATCCAGAAAAACGCATGTCAAAAATGTTATAAATTGATTTGCATATTAATGAGGGAAATAAGTATTTGACCCCCTCTCAATCGGAAAGATTTCTGGCTCCCAGGTGTCTTTTATATTTTATACAGGTAACGAGCTGAGATTAGAAGCACACTCTTAAAGGGAGTGCTCCTAATCTCAGCTTGTTACCTGTATAAACGACACCTGTCCACAGAAGCAATCAATCAATCCGATTCCAAACTCTCCCCCATGGCCAAGACCAAAGAGCTCTCCAAGGATGTCAGGGACAAGATTGTAGACCTACACAAGGCTGGAATGGGCTACAAGACCATTGCCAAGCAGCTTGGCGAGAAGGTGACAACAGTTCGTGCCATTATTCGCAAATGGAAGAAACACAAAAGAACTGTCAATCTCCCTCGGCCTGGGGCTCCATGCAAGATCTCACCTCGTGGAGTTGCAATGATCATGAGAACGGTAAGGAATCAGCCCAGACCTACACGGGAGGATCTTGTCAATAATCTCAAGGCAGCTGGGACCATAGTCACCAAGAAAACAATTGGTAACACACTACGCCGTGAAGGACTGAAATCCTGCAGCGCCCGCAAGATCCCCCTGCTCAAGAAAGCACATACATGCCCGTCTGAAGTTTGCCAATGAACATCTGAATGATTCAGAGGACAACTGGGTGAAAGTGTTGTGGTCAGCTCTTTGGCATCAACTCAACTCGCCGTGTTTGGAGGAGGAATGCTGACTATGACCCCAAGAACACCATCCCCACCGTCAAACATGGAGGTGGAAACATTATGCTTTGGGGGTGTTTTTCTGCTAAGGGGACAGGACAACTTCACCGCATCAAAGGGACGATGGACGGGACCATGTACCGTCAAATCTTGGGTGAGAACCTCCTTCCCTCAGCCAGGGCATTGAAAATGGGTCGTGGATGGGTATTCCAGCATGACAGTGACCCAAAACCCACGGCAAGGGTAACAAAGAAGTGGCTCAAGAAGAAGCACATTAAGGTCCTGGAGTGGCCTAGCCAGTCTCCAGACCTTAATCCCATAGAAAATCTGTGGAGGGAGCTGAAGGTTCGAGTTGCCAAACGTCAGCCTCGAAACCTTAATGACTTGGAGAAGGTCTGCAAAGAGGAGTGGGACAAAATCCCTCCTGAGATGTGTGCACACCTGGTGGCCAACTACAAGAAACGTCTGACCCCTGTGATTGCCAACAAGGGTTTTGCCACCAAGTACTAAGTCATGTTTTGCAGAGGGGTCAAATACTTATTTCCCTCATTAATATGCAAATCAATTTATACCATTTTTGACATGCCTTTTTCTGGATTTTGTTGTTGTTATTCTGTCTCTCACTGTTCAAATAAACCTACCATTAAAATTATAGACTGATCATTTCTTTATCAGTGGGCAAACGTACAAAATCAGCAGAGGATCAAATACTTTTTTTCTCTCACTGTAGGCAGAAAAATAATAGATCACGACGTTTCGATTGCAACACAAGCAACCGTCATCAGGTGGGACAACCCCTTCTCTCTCCCCCCCTGCAGCCGATCTCTCAGATCTCTCCAAGTGCTGCCGCGGGGTCCACTTTCTGCCCCGCCCCCTCTCTGCCCCCATCTCCTCCCCCCCTACTGCCGAGGCCTACTATATAACCTCGTGCCACGGCAGATCTCTCGCCTACTTCAGCAGTTGTTTCTTGCTGTGGTTGTCCCACCTGATGACGATTGCTTGTGTTGCGATCGAAACGTCGTGATCTATTATTTTTGTAACTACGTGACTTTACCGAAAGAACCAAAGAGTATGGATTCCTGCAGTCACGAAAGCTTCAAATCAAGGTCGTAGTAATATTAGAGATGCATTTTGAGTGATTTTCTACATTTGAATGGTGAGCAGTGTAGATTTAAGGTTTTCTTCCAGGTCAATATTACATTGATTAAATGTAATATTTCTGTGGTCTACAGAGAAGGGGTGGAATGTAAGTGACTTAAAGCAACAACTGAAGTGAGGGAATGCAGACCCACAATACATGAGTATACTGTGAATATATTTACGATTAAGGTTGGAAATTAAATTATATATAAAAGGGACATTTGTGAATATGTGTCTGTTCGAAATGTTTAGCATACTTCCCGACATGCAACAAACTTTAATTTTGGCATATGGGTAGCTTCCAGACTGTACACAATTCAAAAAGTATAAAAATAGACTTTTGTATATTTTTTTTTGGGGGGGGGGGGGCGCAATAATGCATTTTGCACGGCAAGTGAGCGGTGACGTCACATCTGTGATGCGTCACGCAGTGTGCCTGCTTACGTCACGCATCCCCCCCCCCACCCTCCGCGTAGGCCGTGTATTAATCCAAGACAAGAATCCAAGTCTCGGGCGAAGCTGGGTAGTAAAGCTAGTACATATATAAAAATAGTGTATAGAGATGTGATTCTGACTTTACAGATGGACATGGAGTGATATTATTGGTGGAATGTTCCACACACGCACAATCATCATAGGCTTACAAAGACCACTACATACAGCCTTTAACACACAGGTGGGGCAAATACTATTAGCAAACACCTATTAAGCATCATATGCTTGCAAATAATTCATTATTTTTGCATTTTCATGCACAGGCTGCCGTCAATGCCACAGTGTGCTCCACTACTCTCTTGGCAGGCTACAACAATGCAACAACCCGTTAGGAACGTAAAGCGGTGCCTTACCTGCAGAGCGGGTAGCAATTTTGGCAATGGCTCATAGGCAAATACGACAGCGTTGATCTGATTGACGGCCATGTTGAATATGGCTATGTTGGTGTCGTAGTTGTTCATTTCGGAATCCACGGTGAAAAATATCGCCACCTTCTGTATCATGGACCCCCCGCGAACCCTCTTGTACGTATTCCTATGCACAACTTGAATTGCATTGGCCAGGTTCGCTCGTCTGTTTGACTTTTTGAACGGCAGCTGCTCGATCTCTTTTATGAGAGCATTCCCGTTGGTGAACTCGCCGAAGCGGATCTTGGTTCGAACCTCCGAGTCGTACAGGAGGACAGAAACGCGGGCTCCTTTTGGGCAGGTCGCAGCGGCTATGGTGACGTTGCTCAGCAAGCTTGCTATGAGGTTTTTGGTCGTGGTGAAAAGTGCTTCTGTACTCTTGGAAGACGTTTCAATCGCCAGGGTCAGCTCCGTGGGATAGATGGGGCAGTCGGACTTGCAGCACGCTGCGGATACAGTCAAGGCAATGGCGGTCTTAACGTGGCATTGTTAGGGCATGCGGTGGAGTTTTTTTTTAATCAATGCTGCAAACACAAACCCATAATCACCCTACTGAGAAGGAATGCTGTGGCTTTGAACAAATCATAGCGCTGGCACAGAGATGCAGTTTAAAATTGTCACGTTAAAATCCCTAGACAGTGGTGATGTTTTTTTTACATTACTTGAAGCTTATCTTGTTTTTTATTCGATTGAATTGTAACGGAATTCCGTGGTTATCAGTTAAGCTTGTCTTGTTTTTCATGAATAAATAGTACATTCATTCCAGAAATGAGGTTTGCAAAATGCATCCTAATATCCATAAGAGGTTTTTTTGGGGGTTAGATCGCGTAAATATATAAATGTGTCGTTAAACCCGCCAGCACCCGACACAGCCAACTAGTAAGGGTTGTCACAAACAGAACATAATAAAGTATTCAAGCTTTCGTGACTGCATAAAATGACTCATTGTTTTTTTCAGTAAAGTCACGTATGTAGAAATACAATAAAATTATATTAAAACAAAAAACAATCACGACGTTTCGATAACAACGCAAGCGATCTTCATCAGGTGTCAAGAACAAATCATGGAGGTAAATACAACAAAAATATGAGAGACGAGAATTCAACAAACCTGAAAAAACATTATGTGAAGCACATCCAGTCAGGCCAACAACACAGTTAGACACTTCCTGGCGGACCACGAATTTCAGAGGAGTGTTAAATTTCGTGTTCAACCTTTGGATTGCACATACCAGCATAGATAGAATGAAAAATACGAGGTACACGGTCAGTAGAAATACATATACAAGTCCACCAAGAGGTAAGGAGGGAGGAAAGACGGACATGGAGGCAGATAGAGAGAGGGGGGGGGGGGATGAACAGAAGCTTAAATAGGAAATACGGTTGGAGAGGGGAGGGGCCGGAGCGAGAGCGGCAGCTCAAACACGCACATCTTACACGTACAAAACGGCAGCTCAAAAAAGGACCACCTCTTGTAAATGCAAAACGGCAGCTCAAAAAATGACCACCTCTTGTAAATACAAACGGCAGCTCAAAAAAGGGCACATCTTACACATAATTACAACGGTAACTTCCCCGTAGAAGTGTGATAATAAAGTATTAAAGCTTTCGTGACTGCATAAAATTACTCATTGGTTTTTTCGGTAAAGTCACGTATGTAGAAATACAAGAAAAATTATATTTTGATTTAAAGCTTTCGTGACTGCAGTAATTCATATTGTTAGCTCTTTCGGTAAAGTCATGCAAACCGACACACCTGATGACGACCGTTTGTGTTATGGTCGAAACGTCGTGAGAATTTTTATTGTTTTATATATATTATTATTTAATTGTTTCCCTTCAACGTGACTTTACCGAAAGAGCTAAGAATAAGAAAAATTATTTTAAAACAAAAAACAATCACGACGTTTCGATCACAACGCAAGCGATCTTCCAAAGGTTGAACACGAAATTTAACACTCCTCTGAAATTCGTGGTCCGCCAGGAAGTGTCTAACTGTGTTGTTGGCCTGACTGGATGTGCTTCACATAATGGTTTTTCAGGTTTGTTGAATTCTCGTCTCTCATCTTTTTGTTGTATTTACCTCCATGATTTGTTCTTGACACCTGATGAAGATCGCTTGCGTTGTGATCGAAACGTCGTGATTGTTTTTTGTTTTAATATAATTTTATTGTATTTCTACATACGTGACTTTACCGAAAAAAACAATGAGTCATTTTATGCAGTCACGAAAGCTTTAATACTTTATTATCACACTTCTACGGGGAAGTTACTGTTGTAATTATGTGTAAGATGTGCCCTTTTTGAGCTGCCATTTTGTATTTACAAGAGGTGGTCCTTTTTTTTCTTCTTTGGTTCTTTCGGTAAAGTCACGTAGAATGAGAATAAAATAATAAATTGATAAAATAAAATAACACACACACACTTCTACGGGGAAGTTACCGTTGTAATTATGTGTAAGATGTGCCCTTTTTGAGCTGCCAGTTTGTATTCACAAGAGGTGGTCCTTTTTTGAGCTGCCGTTTTGTATGTGTAAGATGTGCGTGTTTGAGCTGCCGCTCTTGCTCTGGCCCCTCCCCCCTCCAACCGTATTTCTTATTTAAGCTTCTGTTCATCCCTCCGTCCCCCCCCCCCCCCCCCCCATCTCTCTGCCTCCCCGTCCATCTTTCCTCCCTCCTTACCTCTTGGTGGACTTGTATATGTATTTCTACCGACCGTGTACCTCGTATTTTCCATTCTATCTATGCTGGCATGTGCAATCCAAAGGTTGAACACGAAATTTAACACTTCTGAAATTCGTGGTCCGCCAGGAAGTGTTTAACTGTGTTGTTGGCCTGACTGGATGTGCTTCACATAATGTTTTTTCAGGTTTGTTGAATTCTCGTTTCTCATCTTTTTGTTGTATTTACCTCCATGATTTGTTCTTGACACCTGATGAAGATCGCTTGCGTTGTGATCGAAACGTCGTGATTGTTTTTTTTGTTTTAATATAATTTTATTGTATTTCTACATACGTGACTTTACCAAAAAAACCAACAAACAGAACATGCCAATTCATCACTAGTACAGCACACCGGTGTGTTGGAGAGCCAAGCCACGACATTTACAATCTGAGTAAGACGTTTCGCCAGTAATTACAACTAGCTTCATCAGGCGACAGCCAGGTTTGTGGAGAAGTCCACCTGTTTCGTTCCTTATATAGAGGCGTAGATGTGGTGACCACGCTTCTGTGCTCTTGCGCAAAGTGGTGAGGGGGGGATTCATGAGCCAACGTAAATTATGCATGCGGATTATGCGAGCCTTTTGATCTTGTCCTTCCTGTCCACTGTGTGTATTAAAATAGCCGTGCCAACTGTAATCCCTATTGAAGTATGGTGGCCTGTATAGGAATGAATTTAATCAATGTATTAGTTGATGATTCGCTTCCATGCAGCACTAAGTCGGTAGCTATCCGAACGGTTAAAAAAATATTTATTTAAATTTAGATAGATTCTCTAGTTAGTCTTGGCCAGTAGTAGCTAGTTTTGCACATAACTTCAACATTATCAAAATCAATTGAGTGTCCTTGTTGGTACGCGTGTTCTGCTACTGCTGACAGTTGTATTTGGGAGTATTTAATATTTATTTTATGTTCTTGGTTCTTTCGGTAAAGTCACGTAGAAGGGATGATGATTGCTTGTGCTGCAATCGAAACGTCGTGATAATTTTTTAGTTTTATTTTTATTATTTTATTATTTCCCTCCTACGTGACTTTACCGAAAGAACCAAGAATATGAATCCCTGCAGTCACGAAATCTTTAAATCGAAATGTATTTGATGTTCTTTAGTGTCGTGCTGATCATTCGTCCTGTTTGCCCAACATGGCATTAGCCAAACGTGCAGTTAATCCTGTACACACCTTCTGTTGATTGCTTCGGTAATACATCTTTTGTACTAGATATTAATTTCTGTATTTTATGTACCGTGCCAAATCTGACTCAGATGTTTTGTTTTTCCAAACATCTAGCTATTTTATTCAGTTACTCCTGCAGTGTACAGTAATATGATCGTTTTAATTACTTGGACAGTTTCAATGCTCGTGTTATTTAATTTGGCTTTGGCATTCAATGCCCTGTTGATTTGTGCATAATTGTAATCGTTCATTTGCAGCGCTTCTTTAACATGTTCAATTTTACTCTCAGACTGTCACCATCTGACACTTTCTTAGCTTGATGGATGAGCGTCTTGATAAGAGCAGATTTCTGTGCGGTCAGATTTGGCACGGTACATAAAATACAAAAAAGAATATCTGGTACAAAAGATGTATTACCGAAGCTATCAACAGAAGGTGTGTACAGGATTAACCGCACTTGTGGCAAATGCTATGTTGGGCAAACAAGACGAATGATCAGCTCGATCATTCGTCCGTAGTAGTAGAACACGCGTGCCAACAAGGACACTCAATTCATTTTGATAATTTTGAAGTCTGTGCAAAACTAGCTACTACTGGCCAATACTAATTAGATAATCTATCGGAATAAAAATAAATAATAAATAAATTTAACCGTTCGGATAGCTACCGACTTAGTGCTGTGTGGAAGCGAATCATCAAATAATACATTGTTTAAATGCATGCCTATAAAAACTTGATTTAAAGCTTTGGTGATTGCAGGAATTACTCTTTGGTTCTTTCGGTAAAGTCACCTAGAAAATAAAATAAAGTAAATAATAGAATACGACGTTTCGATTGCAACACAAGCATTCGTCATCAGGTAAGAATGAATAAGAAAAAAACCTAGTAAACTTAGAAATATAATGCAATACAACACAGAGAGTCGGCTAACACAACAGTCAACACCCTACATGGTTGATTACGTTCTTCCAAAGATTGCTAAATTTGAGAGAGAGACAAGACACAGACACGGAGACACACAGACAGACACACAAGCAGAGAGAGACAACACAGAGACACACAGAGAGAGACACACAACATAGGCACACAGAGAAACAGTCACAACAGCTTCAAATCAAGTTTGAACCACCTCTACGAGGAGGATTTAAGTTTGTTTTCTCTCTCTCTGTGTCTCTGTGTTCTCTCTCTCTCTCTGCTTGTGTGTCTGTCTATGTGTCTCCGTGTCTGTGTTTTGTCTCTCTCTCAAATTTCACACTTAACTTCTAATTTAGCAATCTTTGGCAGAACGTAATCAACCAGGCTATGCGTTAATTGTGTGTTAACCAACTCTCTGTGTTGGTTTAACACGTAGGCTTTCGCGACCAATATTATTCATAATAACGGTTTTTGGGTTAGATCGCGTTTATTTATAAATGTGTCGTAACCCTCCACCACCCGACACGGCCAATCAGCAAAAAAGTGTCACGTTGACAAAAGACAAATAATTCACTACTTTAGCCCACCGGTGTGTTGAAGAGTGAATCCACATTTACGACACAAAAAGTACTCAAACTGTAAATGTGGATTCTCTCTGTGTTGCATTGCATTACATTTCCAAATTTTACTAAGTTTGTTTTCTCAAACTTCCTATTTCTCTCTAAAATTTTCCAGGCTTGTTTGTCTTAGGTCCATTTGCTCTTTCTCTCCCCCGGCCACTACGGGGTGGATTTCCACACAACTCTCTCATTGACATGCTAATTTCGCTACCCCCCCCCCCCTCTCTCTCTGCCCCACGCCACCCCCTCTCTCTATTTAAGGCCTCGACACAGGGGCGTTGTTTCTCTGTGTGCCTAGGTGGGTGTGTCTCTCTCGGTGCGTCTCTGTGTTGTCTCTCTCTGCTTGTGTGTCTGTCTGTGTGTCTCCGTGTCTGTGTCTTGTCTCTCTCTCAAATTTAGCAATCTTTCAAAGAACGTAATCAACCAGGTAGGGTGTTGACTTGTGTTAGCCGACTCTCTGTTGTATTGCATTATATTTCTAAGTTTAATAAAAATGACCCTACCAATAGCCTAGTGATAAAAACCAACAAGATCATCACAAGTTCGACCTCCCTAATCGACCCAACTAAACGTCCCTCCCAGAAACCTTCTGCTGCAAGACCCCCTAGATTCTATGGTCTTCCCAAGATTCATAAAGAAGGCACCCCACTATGACCCATCGTATCCATGATCAACTCCCCTACCTATAGACTAGCCCGTTTTCTGTCAGATACCTTGCTGCCTTTCACTGGCAAGACCGCCTCAGCAGTACTTAACTCAGCCCAATTGGTCTCTATGGTCAAAGACGTTGTACTGTCCCCTGACGATATCCTTGTCAGCATCGATATGGTCTCTTTGTTCACCAAGGTCCCAGTGCCTGATACCATTGAAATAATTGAAAATTTGGTCCAACATGGACTAGACCCCGACACACCTGCACTGGTTAGGTACTGCTTCAACAATACCTACTTTACTTGGAATGGCTCCTTCTACAAACAAAATGAGGGTACCCCCATGGGATCCCCCTTGTCACCAGTGATAGCCAATATTTTCATGGAGAAATTTGAATCAGACGCCATCAAGACTTCCACCCTCAGACCTTCCCTGTGGAAGAGATATGTGGATGACACTTTCGTCATTTGGCCACATGGGCTCCCAGCTCTGAACCTTTTCCTACACCACATCAATTCCAGACATCCCGCCATCAAATTCACCATGGAAGTGGAGAAAGATGGCAAGCTACCATTCTTAGATGTTCTGTTTGAGAGGAGACCTGATGGCTCATTGGGGCATTCTGTCTACAGGAAACCTACCCACACAGATTCCTACTTGAAACCTAATTCCCACCACCACCCAGCCCAAAATAATGCTCTCATCAAAACTTTATACCATAGGGCTCATTGCATTTCGGACCAACACCACCTGACCAGTGAATTAAAACATGTACACCTGGCCCTCAAAAGGAATGGATACTCTGACTGTACCATCCGCCAAGCTGTTTCTCCCTCCATACAGAAATAACCACTTGATACTCCGGTCAAAACCATCACACTACCATATATAGCAGGCATTACTAAAAAGATTTCCAAAATTCTAAACAAACAAGATCCAGGTCCGGTTCAATACAGTACACAAAATTCGTGATCTGATCCCATCCGTGAAGGATGTCATTCCTGACTTACAGTACCCCGGGGTTTACAAATTGAGTTGCACCTGCGGTGATTGCTATATCGGGGAGACAAAGCGACATGTCTCTGACCGAATTCGCGAGCACAAATCAGATTTAAAACACGGCAAAACGAATTCTTCTGCCGTGGCTGATCACTATTACAACGCTGTGGGTGATCACGATATAATATTCTCCGATACCAAGGTTCTTTGCAAACCCACGGGTTTTTATCAGAGATTTGTTCACGAGGCAATTCAGATCTACAAACACAGAGACAATTTCAACCGAGAAGATGGTTTCAAATTAAGCAACCATTGGAAAGATGTTCTAAATCGAACTAAACATTAAATTAATTTTCAATGGTACAGTATATTTTTCAAGTAGTGGTACCCCAAACTTTCGCAGCTCTTAAAAAAAAATTCCCTTTTCACACCATCAATAGGTAAACTCCTCCTCCCCCCCCCCCCCCCCGCGCCAAATGGCAAGTCCACCCGCACGTACACCACCTCTATGCTAAGTCGGCCAATCAAATGCTAATTTTTAAGCTAATTCCTTTGTCAAGGCACCTTGTTTCCTCGCACACAGCTTAAAGGTCCGCGGTCTGAGCGTGGTTGTGTTTCACTCCAGCGCTGTCCTCGAGACAACCTGATCCCTTCACCTGATGAAGGCCGCTTGTGTTGTCGTGATTTTTATTGTTTTATTTTTTTACCTACGTGACTTTACCGAATAGAACCAAAGAGTATTTAATATGTTTGTTTTCTCATTCATTCTTACCTGATGACGATTGCTTGTGTTGCAATCGAAACGTCGTATTCTATTATTTAATTTATTTTCTTTCTACGTGACTTTACCGAAAGAACCAAAGAGTGCATGCATATACTTCAATAGGGATTACCATTGGTATGGCTATTTTAATACACACAATGGAAAGGAAGGACAAGATCAAAGGGCTCGCATAATGCGCATGCATAATGTACGGTGACTCATTAATCCCCCCCCCCCACATTTTGCGAAAGAGTGCAGAAGTGTGGTCACCACATCTACGCCTCTATATAAGGAACAAAACAGGTGGACTTCTCCACAAATCTGGCTGTCGCCTGATGAAGCTAGTCGTAATTACTGGCGAAACATCGTACCCAGATTGTAAATGTTGTGACTTGGCTCTCCAACACACCGGTGTGCTGTACTAGTGATGAATTGGCATGTTCTGTTTACGTGACAACCCTTACTAGTTGGCCGTGTCAGGTGGTGGCGGGTTTAACGACACATTTATATATTTACGCGAGCTAACCCAAAAAAAACTCTTATGGATGATATTGGTCGCAAAAGCCTACGTGTTAAACTACATCCTAATATTTAAATACAATGGCTCCTGTTACTCAAAAATTGATTGTTATTTAAATCACTGTTGTTATAAATGTAAACAGGGGTGAAACAAGCCATGATGCATGGAGATTAAATTAAGGCTCTTATAAATCTCAAGTGTTTGTGGTGCTATGTTAAAAATTGGTTCACACTCAGTCGACCTTTATTTCAGCCGGTGAGGCGCATTGAGCTAGGCAGCTCTGTTACCCGGACGACCATAGCCAAACACCGTCGGCAGTGGCGGCAGCTACATGACATTGCAGTTACACAGTTACATAGAGCTATAGAGTTACATAGAGACTCATAGAGTTGCATTGAGATTCAGAGTTATATAAAGACCCGTAGACCACAGCTCAAGACTGTCGGCAGTAGCGGCAGTTACAGAACATTGCACGGTGAGAATGTGCAAACGAGAGCAAAAACGAATATTATTTCCATGAAACCCAAGCCAGAGCTCACTGCAAACAGGATAAACAATACATTATTTACATACAAATTAAAAATGGTAGCAAAAAATCCGGTCACAGATGCGTGTAAATAACCTGCATGCACAGCCTCAGAAATAACGGATCCTAGTTTTAGCGATGAAAGCAATAGTGGCAGGGCTACTTACTAAGCCTGGCCCAACATGTCCCGTGCATCTTTCGGTCCTATAATGAGGGGACGCTGACCTTTCTAAGTCAAAATAAGGCCAAAGCAAGCACCAGCCGCTGGGAAGGTTTTGCCAGAGGGGGTAGAGTGGGTTTTCAATCCGACGGCATCAAAAAGGGAAATCGTCCACAGAGCCAAAGGTCACCATTGTGCAAGGTAAATACATTTCTCATGCTTGGCAACAGAGGAAATCGCTACATTATTTCAGACATGGAATGAAGTGTGAGAGGGGGAAAAAAACATTTGAATTGAGTGCTCGTGACAATCGAGTAAAAATAATTAAAAAAATAATTAAAACAAAACTTGCCATAAGATGCAATGGTGCCAAAGGAGATGTCCAAAGTGTTGAGAGTATTAAAATTACTGTTGCGGACAAAAAAGTGTGTGTCGCCGCATGATGCTTAGTTTGTGCCCTGCACGTGCTGCACTACTTACGGCATCTGTCTCGGACGAAATTTCTCACGTCGCACTTCTGCAACACACGAGCGTTCGTGACAGACATTGATAGAGGTGGTGGTGAAACCGTGCTCATCTTCGTTCAACAGCAAGACAGCGAGGGGTGGGCACCCCTTGTCCTTCGCTCGTGTTCGTTCACGCCGAGCGTCGCGTAACGTTTGCGAGGCCACGGGCATGGCATGGCTGTCTGCGCCACGGAGTCACGCGGCCACGCAAACCTGTCTCGCGAATCAATGACCGAGGCACGTTTGGGTGTCGGCACTATCAATTTCGTAAGCGCAAGGCCATCACCGAGGCGCTGTGTTTCACGGACACGGTCTGCAGTAGTTTCACAGGAAGGGGGCCGATGTTGCTGGTTCTGCTGCGTTTAATCCCAATTTAGTAATTTTCAGGTTATTATCAAGTTTGGCATATTTGGACCGTGATGCCGGCAACACAATAACATCACGGTTTCCTTAATGTTCACTTTGTGAAGCAGACAGCGCATAATATTTTAGGGTTAATACCACACCACTGTAGTGAAACCAGGGTGGCCTGCCGAGTTTAAACCACGTACCTCTGCAACGAACAATGAACGCACGACCGCAGGTCCACAATCACTGTCCTGAATAAGCACCTTTATCACCTACCATGGCAATTCTCAGCCGTCGTGACAATCTTATATATCTTTAGGTGTTGATGTTCAGGTTGGTCACTGAAATTGCTAGACCCCCCACACATAACAATACAAATCTGTGCACAAGTGTTTTCATAAACTGCTGTTCTAGCTGGTTTCCACGTATGTAATGAGATCTAGGGTTTGGATATTTGCACTTTAGAGCAACAATAAAAATTGTATTCAGTGTGTCATCATGCTGGAAGTAAAACGACATTTTATACATAGGGAATGTATCATGCTATTGCAAAATCATTACCGACAACGTATGGCCTGCTTTTCCTTTGAGTCCCTGAAACATGAATGACAGACAGCGTACATGTATCAGACAAGCTTAAATAGATCCATTGCGCTTTAGAAAATGACAACGTACGTTGGGCCGCTAGGTACCGCTGAACTATGTGACACTGCTGATGTCGCCGCCTCAGTGCTCATCACGACAGCACGATGAGCCGCGTGATGGGTGAGTCTGCTGCATTTTTTTCCAACAGAGTACTCTCTTTTGGAAATAAAATGGAGAAAAAAAAATGAAAAATAAAATGCAGGTCGGCAGTGGGCACTCCGCTACACGGCCAGGCTCATGGCCCGCGTTTGTTTTTGTTCAACTCGTCTGCTTTGGTGCCACGTCTTGAACATGTTGATGACATAAATTGAAGTGCCATTAAAGTAACGACGGTACAAATCGACCACGTTCCGCGACGGTGTCATTCGTCTCACGTGTTTTTGTTCGTACGAAATAATACGTCCTGACATCGTTTTTTCAAGCCTCTCATTTAGTGCTGGTTTTTTGTCTTCAAATTTTGGACAACCATTTGATATATTTGGTACCAATAGCAACACAACTTGATAAAAAAAGGTTTTGTTTGTACAGCACCATCCTCATGAGAGTTATCGTGCCCCCATGTTACAGACGAATAGGCGGAGCTAATGCATTCATTAACAGTTTCGTTTTACTTAGATGTCCAAGCAACATAAATCCACAGTAATGTGGCAGTCCAAGTGTGTATTCTATACATGCTGCCATTACTGTTTTTTTCTCTGGTGCACGGAGCACCATGAGTTTAACATGCCCGGCTCCCAGCACACACCAAATGTGCTGCAGTGACGACAGTCCTGAGCAGGGCCGGTGCTAGCAGGTCACTGGCGTGGGCCCTGCTCCGCCAAATGTCAGGTAGGCCTAGCCAAGTTTACTTTCCTTAGTGCCAGCCCACTGTTGTTACGGTGCCCCCCCCCCCACCACCACAGCAACTTGACTGGTCCCCCTCAACCGAGACGAGCTGAAACCACGCGTGGTGCTGAGGTGAGACATTTACTATTAAAATAACTTTTTTTTATTCTTAGTTTTTTCGGTAAAGTCACGTTGAAGAGAAACAACAAAATAATAAAATATTATTGACTTTACCGAAAAAACTAAGAATATGAATTACTGCAGTCACGAAAGCTTTAAATCAAAATTTAACTTTTTTATTTTACCAGGTAAAGCCCACTGAGCTATATAGCTCGTTTTCAGAAGCGACCTGGCCACCAATTATAGTTCAATGAAGTGGTTTATCATGTAGAAATGTATTGCAGCCAAATACTCTAAACGCACAATGTGGAGGGAAAATACGGAGGACCCGGAGGAAGATCCACACGATCACGGGGAGAGAGAGAGAGACGCAAATTCCAAATATACAGCAGGAGCCAGGGTCGGGATGAAACCCACGACCTCCTTTATACCAGGCGAAGAAGTTAACATCTCGCCACCGTTGCACACCATTTACAATAGTAAGACCACTATGACATCACGGGAGTGCACCATGGCAGTCATCTTGAAATAAACTTTACATATTTTGTTCGCATTCATGAGAGATTAGAATGTGTGTTGGACAGCCCTGAGCACAGCCGAGGTATGAATCTACATTAGCCGGGCGCTGGTGGGTGGACATGCCTGTAAATGCAGTGCTGTAGAGGCAGCACTGGTTTGTGGATCGCACAAATGTTGCTAGCTCCCTTTCCTTAGGAGTGGCGGTGTTATAGCCTGGCTTCCCAAGAGGTGATACAGCAAAGTGGAGACTAACATCGTCGTTCCATTCTCTATAGGAGAGTGTTACACCCTCACAAGTGGCGTTTCTCCGGTTGTTCCCTATTTCCTCCAATATGTAAACACTCATTAATTGTATGGAAACATGTTGTTAAATAAAGAACTGCAGAGCTTGGACCATTGTTAACACCGGCTCACCGCTTGGCTGCTGCGTTCCGGCTTAGTCTATTGTTGCTCAGCGACTGTGAGGTCCAATTTGTATGAGTGACGCTATGTAAACACCAAAAAAAAACCTGATAGAATATTGTAGATGTTGGTTGTTTGGGTTGTATCTCCATTTGCTGACCCATCTATACTGGACATCTGTGAAAAAGAGCTTAATAGCTCATCGGATTCCTCCTCCATTCCAAATAAAGATTCTGAATTCCATCAGAATGGCTGTGAAGCTACGATAATGACTTCCACAGTTCAAAAGCCAACAACAAAGTCAAGTGAACAAGAGATTAACTTATTGCACTGCGCGGTAGGGATTACACAACTAATCGAAGTATCCAATGTGGGAGCACATTTGATTTTGATTATAAACAGGACATAACCATCCATAATAGAGGTTTTTGGGTTGATTTGAAGCTTTCGTGACTGCAGGAATTACTCTTTGGTTCTTTCAGTAAAGTCACGTAGAAATAAAATAAAAGAAATAATAGAATACGACGTTTTGATTGCAACACAAGCAACCGTCATCAGGTGTGAATGAATGCAAGCTCAGAGAGAGACACATATACAAAGAGAGACACACACAGACACGGAGAGAGACACAGTGAGGGAAAAAAAAAGTAATTGATCCCCTGCTGATTTTGTACGTTTGCCCACTGACAAAGAAATTATCAGTCTATCATTTTAATGGTAGGTTTATTTGAGCAGTGAGAGACAGGTAGATAAAATAAAATAAAAAATTTGTTTTATTTTGTTTTATCTACGTGACTTTACCGAATAAACCCAAAGAGTATGAATCCTTGCAGTCACGACAGCTTCAAATCTAGAAGTGAGAGAATAACAACAACAAAAATCCAGAAAAACGCATGTCAAAAATGTTATGAATGAATTTGCATTTTAATGAGGGAAATAAGTATTTGACCCCTCTGCAAAATATGACTTAATACTTGGTGGCAAAACCCTTGTTGGAAATCACAGAGGTCAGACGTTTCTTGTAGTTGGCCACCAGGTTTGCACACATCTCAGGAGGGATTTTGTCCCACTCCTCTTTGCAGATCTTCTCCAAGTCATTAAGGTTTCGAGGCTGACGTTTGGCAACTCGAACCTTCAGCTCCCTCCACAGATTTTCTATGGGATTAAGGTCTGGACACTGGCTAGGCCACTCCAGGACCTTAATGTGCTTCTTCTTGAGCCACTCCTTTGTTGCCTTGGCTGTGTGTTTTGGGTCATTGTCATGCTGGAATACCCATCCACGACCCATTTTCAATGCCCTGGCTGAGGGAAGGAGGTTCTCACCCAAGATTTGACGGTACATGGCCCCGTCCATCGTCCCTTTCATGCGGTGAAGTTGTCCTGTCCCCTTAGCAGAAAAACACCCCCAAAGCATAATGTTTCCACCTCCATGTTTGACGGTGGGGATGGTGTTCTTGGGGTCATAGGCAGCATTCCTCCTCCTCCAAACACGGTGGGTTGAGTTGATGCCAAGAGCTCCATTTTGGTCTCATCTGACCACAACACTTTCACCCAGTTGTCCTCTGCATCATTCAGATGTTCATTGGCAAACTTCAGACGGGCATGTATATGTGCTTTCTTGAGCAGGGGGACCTTGCGGGCACTGCAGGATTTCAGTCCTTCACTGCGTAGTATGTTACCAATTGTTTTCTTGGTGACTATGGTCCCAGCTGCCTTGAGATCATTGACAAGATCCTCCCGTGTAGTTCTGGGCTGATTCCTCACCGTTCTCATGATCATTGCAACTCCACGAGGTGAGATCTTGCATGGAGCCCCAGGCCGAGGGAGATTGACAGTTCTTTTGTGTTTCTTCCATTTGCGAATAATTGCACCAATTGTTGTCACCTTCTCACCAAGCTGCGTGGCAATGGTCTTGTAGCCCATTCCAGCCTTGTGTAGGTCTACAATCTTGTCCCTGACATCCTTGGAGAGCTCTTTGGTCTTGGCCATGGTGGAGAGTTTGGAATCTGATTGATTGATTGCTTCTGTGGACCGGTGTCTTTTATACAGGTAACAAGCTGAGATTAGGAGCACTCCCTTTAAGAGTGTGCTCCTAATCTCAGCTCGTTACCTGTATAAAAGACACCTGGGAGCCAGAAATCTTTCTGATTGAGAGGGGGTCAAGTACTTATTTCCCTCATTAAAATGCAAATCAATTTATAACATTTTTGACATGCGTTTTTCTGGATATTTTTGTGTTATTCTGTCTCTCATTGTTCAAATAAACCTACCATTAAAATTATAGACTGATCATTTCGTCGTCAGTGGGCAAACGTACAAAATCAGCAAGGGATCAAATACTTTTTTCCCTCACTGTACACAGAGAGAGAGACACACAGAGAGAGACACACATGGGGGAGAGAAACACATACGCAGAGAGACACATACGCAGAGAGACACACAGAGAAACAACGCCTCTGTGACGCGGCATTGTATAGAGATGGGGGGGGGGCACAGAAATTAGCATGTCAATGAGAGCGGCAGTAGGAGAGAAATTTGAAGTTTTGACAAACCTAGTAAAATTTAGAGAGTGGCAGGGAGAGAGAAATTGGAAGTTCGATAAAACAAACCTAGTAAATTCATATTCTTAGCTCTTTCGGTAAAAGTCAAGTTGAAGGGAAACAATAAACGTCGTGAGAATATTATTGCGTTATTTTATTTTATCAATTTATTATTTTATTATCATTCTACGTGACTTTACCGAAAGAACCAAAGAAGATGAATCATTGCAGTCACGAAAGCTTTAAATCGAAAAATAAAGCTTTAAATAAAAACCTAGTAAACTTTGAAATGTAATGCAATGCAACACAGAGAGTCGGCTAACACAACAGTTAACACTTTAACTGGTTGATCACATTCTTCCAAAGATTTCTAAATTTGAAGTTAAGTGTGAGTTGTGTGGAAATCCTCCCCATAGCGGTGGGTCAAACTTGATTTGAAGCTTTCGTGACTGCAGGAATTACTCTTTGGTTCTTTCCGTAAAGTCACGTAGAAACCCGCCACCACCCGAAACAGCCAACTAGTAAGGGTTGTCACGTGAACAGAACCTGTGTCGGGTGGTGGCAGGTTTTTACGACACACTTATATATCTAAACCAAAAAAAACGTCTATTATGGACGATATTGGTCGTGAAAGTTTACGTGTTAAACAGGACATAACCAAGTGCCTGATATGGGAAATGTGGAATCTCATTCATGATCACAACATTTCCCATGTGTGCCATGTGACATGGATTTTCCTAGTCCCTGCCCATGTTTATATAGAAACAAAAGTCAAGGTGTACAAAACCATCATGACGTGTGCCTCTGTATAGATGTAGTGGATTAACACGCGCATACAGGGTGGATGGTAAAGACGCGCAAGTTATGGACAGTGGGGTTACGTCGGGCCGGCCAGATGCGGCGGCGGGGAACTGTGAAGTAATGACGGGCCAATTAAGTTGGTAAGAGATGTACGGCTGTGATTGGCTGGGGTTGTTGTCAAGGGCGGAGTGGCGCCAGAATGTCTGGGGATAGAGGGGGAGAGTAACAGGTGCGGGGACGCGGGGCGTGAGTGGCACGTGGCCTAATTAATTGGTTGGTAATGAGAACGGGGATATATTCGGGAGACGGGAAGAACGAGGGGAGTTGTCGCTGGGACTGGAACGAAGCAGGTCGATGAGAACCGGAGCGAAGACATAGGAGACAGAACAGGCTAGCAGTGGAGCAGAGACAAGCAGAGACAAGCAGAGACGGAGTGAGGCAGAGACAGCGGGAGAGAAACAGAGATACAACGTGAGACAGAGACAGCGGGAGAGAGACAGAGATACAGCGTGAGACAGAGATACAGCGTGAGACAGAGATACAGCATGAGACAGAGATACAGCGTGAGACAGAGATACAGCGTGAGACAGAGATACAGCGTGAGACAGAGATACAGCGTGAGACAGCGATACAGCGTGAGACAGAGACAGCGAGCGACGGAGAGAGACAGAGACAGCGAGCGACGGAGAGAGACAGGGACGACGAGCGACGGAGAGAGACAGGGACGACGCAGAGGGACAGTGAGGGATAGGGGAGGAAGCAGAGTGAGCGAGACGGGCGGCGAGCGAGCTGCGGCTAAGCGGAATGACGGAGTCACAGACGTAATGTGAAGAGTTGTAATAAAAGTGGTGTCGGAGAAAACAATAAAGTTGTCTGCGTCAAGTCAACCACTACATATATACTGGAAAAATTAGAAGATCTGACCAATGAAAAGCATTGCAAGTATAGAAATTAGCTTTGTGTGAGGAACACTGACAGCATCCGGACCGGCTTCAATTAGACGTGGAGCAATAAGAGGACGGCCGAGTCAAATCGCACCGCTGCTTGGGGAAATCCGACGACCCAGTAGCTTTGGTCACGTGGTCTAGAATGGATGTGGAGAGACTAACCAGGAGCAGCACGTGGTGGTACACTTAGGCTTTCGGATGCGCTTCTATGGCCGTCTGGAACTCTCTTCTTTCCGATATTAGGAAACCACTGGAGGCTCTTGTGTACAAGGTTGCATGGATCATTAAAATCTGTAAACTTATGAGAAAAGCCTTATCCAGACCACCAGCTCACAAGAACTGAGCATGCGGCTATTTTGTCTTTTTCACCACCAACTCGACAAGTGGAGAAAACGTGACCATCCCAGCAGGCAACAGTAAAAACAATGACTCAACTGTGGGTTGGTTTCATCCTCATTTGGGCTCATCAGTAAAGTACAATCACTGCTGCCACATACCCCTGCTGCCACGTGTCTTCGTTTCACTGCTGTCTGCTAAGGTGGACACGTTTTCTGAAGAGTTGGCGGTCTAAACGTGCAAACGGGCCACAAGCGTTCAGTTCTTTGAATCCTGGCGATGCAGAGGCAGTGTTATTGATGAATGCGTCGAGTAGTTTCTGTAGGCGAAAGGGCTTTGTTGCAGTTGCTTGACTTACCAGTGGACCAGGTGGTCCCAGTTCCCCTCCCTCTCCTGGAGAGCCTTTTTTCCCCGAATTTGCCTGCAGGACAGTGTTGCCAGCATGTGAGATCAGCACCCAAGAGACAGACATCCCCACATACAGCCAGCCGTATGTGAGGCTGTAGCTTGTGCTCTGCATGGCTAATCAGTGGATGCGGGCAGTAACAACAGAAAAATAATGCTTTGGTCCCGCAATTTTAAATATTATTCTAGGCAAATAGGTGACAGGACACAGCAGCAGCTAGTTGCAGCCAAAACACAGAGCAGCCACATTTACATTTTTTAAACATCGTTTATCGGAAAAGCCAGACATTCGATGTGTGGATAATGTACAATATCCCAGACGCTGAGTTTTAAAATATATATTTATAATTGTGATATTGTGTTTATGAAACAGAGATATGCATTGAGCTTGAGCACATGGGCGGAATTCCAACGTAGCGCATGAATTGCGCAAAATCCCTTCCGTAAAATTCAGGCGCCGACATTTATCATGACTCGCCACGGCCCCATTCACTAGAAACTCCCGCAAGGTCCCGAGCGGGCCGGCAGAGTACCGACAGGAACTGCTGACATCCGAGCCGACCAATCAGGCTCTTGTTGCACAAATATCGCAGGTACGCGCGTGTGGAGGTCACAGGCAGTTGCTCAGTCAGCCAATCGCAAGCACCTGCTGGGTCTGTCCCGTGACCTCATGTCAGCCAGCCTTCAACACTCCAAGTGGCCTCGGGAGTCCACCTGAAATGACGCGGGTGCCGTGGTGACGTCGCCGCCACTTAGTGACCAATGACGGCTGTTGTTGTTGTGTGCGAGAGCTGCTCCGTCCTGCACCCAGGTCTGCTAGTTTAGTAATTGGCCATATTTGTTGATGACAGTTCTTCTGATGATGAAGAAGAGGATGTAGAAGATGATAAATAATGCTGGTGACGATCATGTACGAAGATGATGGTAATGGTCTATGCTAGTTATCTATCTCCGCTGCTCGTGAATGGAATAAGCTCCCTGTGGCTGTAGGCAGCGCGTGGTTGGCGGCGGTGGCGGCGGCCGTCAAGAGGTGGCTGGAGACACGTCTGTGCAGAATGGCGCTCGGGTTCCGCTGGGGCCTTGTTGGCCACTCGTCGCGCGTTTTGAATCGGACTCATTGATGATGACGATGAGAACGATGAGAGCGGTACTCGTGATAAGGATAAATTAACAAGATGATGGTAATGATTTTTGGAAGTTATACAGATCTGAAGAATCATGGAACCTGGTGATGCCTTTGGATTGGCAGGCAAAATGAAAGCGAATGAGATTGGTTTTAAGGCAGCATGTCTCTGCGTTTGTTACCATGCGACCTCTGATGCCCTTGGGTCCATCGTCACCTCCTGGTCCCTCGTCACCAACATTACCCTGCAGGGAACAGGGTAATGGCGTGATGCAGGATTCATCAAAGCTAGGAACTGATGTGCTTCTCTCCACATGTAATGCATTGCAACTGTGAATGACCTTAATGAACGAGCTTGCATTCATATTGAAGTTGATTATGTTTACTGGAAACGTCTCAGAGTGCAAAGCCCTCTATTGGTAGCTGTCCCTGTGCAGCACAAGATCACAACACTTGGCTCACGATGGGAATTAGTCTGCCAGTAGGGGGTGATGATTTCTTGCCAGTGAATAGTGGTTAATCCTTTTTGTCAAACTTTTGCCAATTTTAACCGAGATTTGCATTGTGTGTGTACATTTTTTTTTACTTCCAGTTATGGAGGGGAACCCAGCTAACTCCAGAGGAAACCGAGCTCATCGAGGGGAGAACATAAAAACTCGATGCAGAGAGCCCCCCCCCCCCCCCACCCTCGAGTCAGGAGTCAAATCCAGGCACTGCCCTGTAAACTTTTTTTAACCTTAGCTGGAAAGTGTAATGACTGTATACTGGATGAAGGCGCGCCTCGTTACCTGGATGCCAGTGTAGCCCAGAAAGCCATCGTCGCCCTGTGAGACACATGGCAACAGGTAATGTATGTATGTATGTACGTATGTTGAACTTCTTTTGCACCGTACATAGCCAACCGTGCTAATTGGAGGCGCGGTTAACGCACGCATCACATTGATGGTTCAAGCAACTCGCCCTACTTTGCTTTCTTCGTGAAATGTTTCTCTTGAGTTTTCGTGAAAAGAACATCTCAATATGTAGGCATCTTTATTATCCAGACCTTTATGTGAGTGTCGAATCAACATTGTGCATAAGAGAGGCAATCATTTTTTTATTAATGTGTATCCATGCCTCCACACCTCATCAGTTTTCAAGTATCATTCCAATGAATTGTAAAATTGCTCCAGCTTATTTTTCAGCACATACATAACCATGCTAACAATTTAAGACAGAGATTGCAATACAATGCTGTGAATTAAAGTTTTTTTTGGCAAACGTACGATATCAAAACAGTGAATGGATTGGGATAATTTAAACACAATAACAGCGTCGCGTTCGATTGAGATACGAGGCGCTGCTCTCACCGACCGATGCTGGCATTGATGTCTTTAGAATTCTGTGCTTCTGATCAGAAAAGATGGACCTACCTTCTTAGAGGAACTCCAGAGCTCTGTAATCAGATACTCGGTGTAGCGGAAAAGTTTGCTATGAAAAGTTGAGAATATTTTCCGAGAATAGCTTGAGGTTTGGTGAAGGCAATTGGCCAAATTTTACGTGAGCTGGGACACACACAAAGTGCTGGCATGCTCTGAAATGTCATTAAGAACACAACGTTCATTTGTTTATATTTAGTCCTCAATAAATGTAACACCAAAATAAGGCAAAGATCCCCTATATAGTTGTTAACAGACTGTTGGGACATGTGTTGTTAGTAAGTAGCACCTACGAAGGCCGGCACCATGCCCGGCCGCCATTCTCCTCAGTGCTGATGTTTGTACACCACACCAGGCAATCATTTACGGCCGAGTCGGTCTAGGGGAGGCGCAGGACTGGTTGAGATATTCGCCACCAAAGTTGGCCTTGCGTGGGAATCTAACGCTGTGTCGCCGGGTTCGCAGCGCAGTGTGCTAACCCGCTGTCCCACCGCTCCCCAAAAATAGAGCTCTCCACAAGTCTTTGTAAAGATGTAAGACCACGCGTGCAAAGTAAGTACACCACTCCTCGTCCAAACACTGCCTGCTCGCATGGCTACTGCAGGCAGGGTGAGCGGGCGATTGTGTTTATCTGGGCTTCGCCAAAATGGTTATGGCAGTCTCTAAACTATGTAAACAGGAAAAGCTTTAAGTAAAATAAAGGTATACAAATGAGTAAGCAATGCATCCCTGCTGTAACCAACACCGTGACTATATGACACATTATATAGAAGAAAAAGACCACTGAAAAATTGGACTGCATCCTTCTTGGGCTTACACATTAAACCTTGCTCCATGGCTAAGAGACCAAGACTTTGATGCCAATAGAAATATCTTATGGCAGTGTTGTGCATGAGTAGTCAATACCTTTTTGCCAACACCTCCCTTGGGTCCAATCATGTCTGCCCCTGGGTAACCCTGAAAGACAATGTCATGTTTAATCTTCATGTGAGTGAACCAATACATTTTCAGTGAGTTGAACGTAAAAAATTGTGTTGTTTTTCCTTACACGTTTACGATAAAATCAATACTGTACTTAAATATTTGCCTCTAATATTTTCATTATAATTACAACTAAACTGGAACACATTAGTAACGTCCAAACACAGGCTAGCTTGTTCAACTCTTTAAACCCACAGTTGCACAAATTGAGACGAGGGGATTTTGTGACCGACTAAAACTCCAACACTCCCAACCACAACGAGGTGCACACTCGATTGTTTCTGGCAACGCAGTGGCACAGACTTAAGTGCTCAGGTTAACAAACAACATCACTGGTATTTGGCCAATATTCCCAATGCTGAAAAATGGCCCGCACACTACTCAACTGGCATTACACACAGAGCTACATCTCCTCCTACTGCTACGACAACCTGGCCGGGACCCTCCTCAAAAGAGATTTGAGACTCGGCGTTGCTGGCTAACTGAGCGTAATCGTAACAAACACGATATTACGTCAGGAGAGAGCCCCCAAAATAAGACTGGAGAATTGAATGGCTTCGGATGTCAGTGCGAGAGGAGGCCCTCTCTCCCAGCTGCACTATGTGGTGCTTGTTTCACTTGAGCTGGAAACCGGTTTGCTGAAACTGCACTCGTTACAAATGCAAGCACACATGCCTTAGGACGAATTCAGGACAACACTTTTTTCATCTTTGTTGCAAGCTCTCTGCCATAACAGTTCTCATTGCAGATGCGTCTACAACCCTTGAGTCACAGGTGAAAGGCCGCGAGTTAAAATCTTTGGCTGGTCCTGCCCCACCACCCCTTCGCCACCCCCACCACCACTTCACCAATCTTCACTGACTGGCATGGTGAAATATGATAAAACAATCCCCATGACCAACACGGTTTGATCCATCAAGATATTTATAGAGCATTAAACATGAGTCAACTTAGCTTATCATCCCTCCAGGGTCAATAATAGGAGTATAACTGTGTGGGAATTTGACATTGGTAGTCCTTTTGCGATTTGATATTGGCATAGGGTACCTCATTTGCATCGCTTACCCAGGTCTTCCAAATGGGGTGTGCAACACCACAATGCTCGCTTGGAAGCAGAGAGACAAATTGGGGCTGTGTTCTTAGTCATGGCTCTGCCTCGGCCTCGAATGCTCACGCTCAGCTCAGGCCTAAACCGCTCGGTTGGTTACCAAGTCGAGGGGATAAGAGGTAAGCCACCACCTGGTTCAGGCTCAGCCACATGGGACCGATGCTTAGAGCCAGCTCAATTTAAGCATGGTGGTTTTGAGCCGGCTCATTTGAGCCTGGGCCAAGCCTGAGCTGAGCCGTGACTAAGAATACGGGCCTCTTATTTTGTATCCACGACTAATTTTGTGTGGCTAATGTCAATTGAATAGGTTTTTATATTCCTTGGTTCTTTCGGTAAAGTCACGGAGATATAAAAATTATAATAAAATCAAAGTGAATAAAAAAATATATAATTAAAATAAGTTTAATTTTCGGAACCTGAGCAACGTTCTTATTATTTGTAGTTGCAGATGCGACCGCATTGGCTACACGCTGGGCTTGCTGTGGCCTGGCTATGAGGAGCGTGGCAGGCCGGTGAGGTGGCGAGGTTTGGACCGTCACTCACAGTCGACCCTCGGTTTCCATCGAGACCACTGGGACCCACGTCTCCGAGAATTCCTTGTTGACCCTGTGGGACAGAAAAGATCCTCAAGAGATATATATTTTAAAACATGTACATGTTTATGTCTAACAGGGCTTTCATCTCGCTTTAAATTGAATACAGTTATCCTGTTTTCATTTTAGATCAAGTTAATGCCATCATTGATTCCTTCAAAAAACAAAATTTTAATCACATACACTTGAATGATCGCAGAGGACACCACAAGCCACAAAAAATAGGATGCAACAAAACACGGCCCATCGCTAAGAAGTGCCATATGGCACATGCGGAATGAGGATCTTCGAGCTGTGCTTGGGAAACAGACCACGATCGCAGTTAAATGGAAACAGTGGGAGTTCAGATGCTGATATGTGTACCTATGGTGGCACGCGCATCACTCCGGCAGATAAACAGAGATAATCAGTTGTGTGATGGGACAAACACGTTGCATATTCTGTTGCCAAACACACATTTTTAGTTTAACGGGTAGGCTTTCGCAACCAATATCATCCATAATATAGTTTTTGGGTTATATCGTGCAAATATAAATGTCGTTGAACACGTCAATACCCGACACAGCCAATTAGTAAGGTTTGTCACTTAAAAAGAACATGCCAATTCGTTACTAGTACAGCACACCAGTGTGTTGGAGAGAAAATCCAGAAAATTTAAAATCTGAATACGACGTTTCACCAGTAATTACAACTAGCTTCATCAGGCGACAGCCAGATTTGTGGAAACATTTTTAATAATTGCCCATCACGTAGCTCTTGGTTAATATGCTGTTATTCTGTGATTGTTACACGAGTGTGGTAATACCTCCACTGATTGTTAATAATCGTAAACGCAGAACATACCATAGACATGTCACTAGGAATGCCCATTATTAGCTCGAACTGAAGTATATTCCAGGTCTCACTTTACAACAGGCACAAGGGAGTTGCCAATCAACAATCGATTGGAAATGATATCGTGGATTACAGGATGGGTGAATAGCTTCCTGTGATGACTGTAAACAAAGGGCACGAATCTAGTTTGAACCACCTCTACGGGGAAGGTTTACTCACAACTCACACTTTACTACTCACAACTCACACTTTACTACTCACAACTCACACTTTACTACTCACAACTCACACTACTCACAACTCACACTTTACTACTCACAACTCACACTTTACTACTCACAACTCACACTTTACTACTCACAACTCACACTTTACTACTCACAACTCACACTTTACTTCTCACAACTCACACTTTACTACTCACAACTCACACTACTCACAACTCACACTTTACTACTCACAACTCACACTTTACTACTCACAACTCACACTTTACTACTCACAACTCACACTACTCACAACTCACACTTTACTACTCACAACTCACACTTTACTACTCACAACTCACACTTTACTACTCACAACTCACACTTTACTTCTCACAACTCACACTTTACTACTCACAACTCACACTTTATTACTCACAACTCACACTTTACTACTCACAACTCACACTTTACTTCTCACAACTCACACTTTATTACTCACAACTCACACTTTACTACTCACAACTCACACTACTCACAACTCACACTTTACTACTCACAACTCACACTTTACTTCTCACAACTCACACTACTCACAACTCACACTTTACTACTCACAACTCACACTTTACTACTCACAACTCACACTTTACTACTCACAACTCACACTTTACTACTCACAACTCACACTTTACTACTCACAACTCACACTACTCACAACTCACACTTTACTACTCACAACTCACACTTCTCACAACTCACACTTTACTACTCACAACTAACACTTTACTACTCACAACTCACACTTTACTACTCACAACTCACACTTTACTTCTCACAACTCACACTTTACTACTCACAACTCACACTACTCACAACTCACACTTTACTACTCACAACTCACACTTTACTACTCACAACTCACACTTTACTACTCACAACTCACACTTTACTTCTCACAACTCACACTTTACTACTCACAACTCACACTTTACTACTCACAACTCACACTTTACTACTCACAACTCACACTTTACTACTCACAACTCACACTTTACTACTCACAACTCACACTTTACTACTCACAACTCACACTTTACTACTCACAACTCACACTTTACTACTCACAACTCACACTTTACTACTCACAACTAACACTTTACTACTCACAACTCACACTTCTCACAACTCACACTTTACTACTCACAACTCACACTTTACTACTCACAACTCACACTTTACTTCTCACAACTCACACTTCTCACAACTCACACTTTACTACTCACAACTCACACTTTACTACTCACAACTCACACTTTACTTCTCACAACTCACACTTCTCACAACTCACACTTCTCACAACTCACACTTTACTACTCACAACTCACACTTTACTACTCACAACTCACACTTTACTACTCACAACTCACACTACTCACAACTCACACTTTACTTCTCACAACTCACACTTTACTACTCACAACTCACACTTTACTACTCACAACTCACACTTTACTACTCACAACTCACACTTTACTACTCACAACTCACACTTTACTTCTCACAACTCACACTTCTCACAACTCACACTTTACTACTCACAACTCACACTTTACTACTCACAACTCACACTTTACTACTCACAACTCACACTTCTCACAACTCACACGTTACTTCTCACAACTCACACTTCTCACAACTCACACTTTACTACTCACAACTCACACTTCTCACAACTCAGACTTTACTACTCACAACTCACACTTCTCACAACTCACACTTTACTTCTCACAACTCACACTTTACTACTCACAACTCACACTTCTCACAACTCACACTTTACTACTCACAACTCACACTTTACTTCTCACAACTCACACTTTACTTCTCACAACTCACACTTTACTACTCACAACTCACACTACTCACAACTCACACTTTACTACTCACAACTCACACTTTACTACTCACAACTCACACTTCTCACAACTCACACTTTACTACTCACAACTCACACTACTCACAACTCACACTTTACTACTCACAACTCACACTTTACTACTCACAACTCACACTTTACTACTCACAACTCACACTTTACTTCTCACAACTCACACTTTACTACTCACAACTCACACTTTATTACTCACAACTCACACTTTACTACTCACAACTCACACTTTACTTCTCACAACTCACACTTTATTACTCACAACTCACACTTTACTACTCACAACTCACACTACTCACAACTCACACTTTACTACTCACAACTCACACTTTACTTCTCACAACTCACACTACTCACAACTCACACTTTACTACTCACAACTCACACTTTACTACTCACAACTCACACTTTACTACTCACAACTCACACTTTACTACTCACAACTCACACTTTACTACTCACAACTCACACTACTCACAACTCACACTTTACTACTCACAACTCACACTTCTCACAACTCACACTTTACTTCTCACAACTCACACTACTCACAACTCACACTTTACTACTCACAACTCACACTTTACTTCTCACAACTCACACTTTACTACTCACAACTCACACTACTCACAACTCACACTTTACTACTCACAACTCACACTTTACTACTCACAACTAACACTTTACTACTCACAACTCACACTTTACTACTCACAACTCACACTTTACTACTCACAACTCACACTACTCACAACTCACACTTTACTACTCACAACTCACACTTTACTACTCACAACTCACACTTTACTACTCACAACTCACACTTTACTTCTCACAACTCACACTTCTCACAACTCACACTTCTCACAACTCACACTTTACTACTCACAACTCACACTTTACTACTCACAACTCACACTTTACTTCTCACAACTCACACTTCTCACAACTCACACTTCTCACAACTCACACTTTACTACTCACAACTCACACTTTACTACTCACAACTCACACCTCTCACAACTCACACTTCTCACAACTCACACTTTACTACTCACAACTCACACTTTACTACTCACAACTCACACTTTACTACTCACAACTCACACTTTACTACTCACAACTCACACTTCTCACAACTCACACTTCTCACAACTCACACTTTACTTCTCACAACTCACACTTCTCACAACTCACACTACTCACAACTCACACTTTACTACTCACAACTCACACTTTACTACTCACAACTCACACTTTACTACTCACAACTCACACTTCTCACAACTCACACGTTACTTCTCACAACTCACACTTCTCACAACTCACACTTTACTACTCACAACTCACACTTCTCACAACTCAGACTTTACTACTCACAACTCACACTTTACTACTCACAACTCACACTTTACTACTCACAACTCACACTTTACTACTCACAACTCACACTTTACTATTCACAACTCACACTTCTCACAACTCACACTTTACTTCTCACAATTCACACTTTACTACTCACAACTCACACTTTACTTCTCACAACTCACACTTCTCACAACTCACACTTTACTACTCACAACTCACACTTCTCACAACTCAGACTTTACTACTCACAACTCACACTTTACTACTCACAACTCACACTTTACTACTCACAACTCACACTTTACTACTCACAACTCACACTTTACTATTCACAACTCACACTTCTCACAACTCACACTTCTCACAACTCACACTTTACTTCTCACAATTCACACTTTACTACTCACAACTCACACTTCTCACAACTCACACTTTACTACTCACAACTCACACTTTACTATTCACAACTCACACTTCTCACAACTCACACTTCTCACAACTCACACTTTACTTCTCACAACTCACACTTTACTACTCACAACTCACACTTCTCACAACTCAGACTTTACTACTCACAACTCACACTTTACTACTCACAACTCACACTTTACTACTCACAACTCACACTTTACTACTCACAACTCACACTTTACT